GCTGAAGATGGAATCAATAGCCAATCAACATTCAGCCAAGATTAGCTCTCTGCCTCCAACTCCAATTAAAATTCTTTGTAATACAAACTCCCTCCTTTGCTTTTAAAAACCTCTGACTTTTTACTCCCTAGCAGGACACTATTTTGGTTTCTACCTGAATCTGTGCTCCCCAAATTGCCATTCTTTTTTTGTGTGTGTGTGAGGAGATCAGCCCTGTGCTAACATCTGCCAATCCTCCTCTTTTTCTGCTGAGGAAGACTGGCCCTGGGCTAACATCCATGCCCATCTTCCTCCACTTTATATGGGCCGCTGCCGCAGCATGGCTTGCCAAGCAGTGCGTTGGTGCACGCCCGGGATCCGAACCGGCGAACTCCGGGCCGCTGCAGTGGAGCGCGAGCACTTAACCGCTTGCGCCACTGGGCCAGCCCCAAAATTGCCATTCTTGAGACCTCAAATAAACTTTTTGCTTCTCTTGTAGTTTATGCCTCTTATTGGTTGACATGTGCCAACTTCAGCCCCACCACCAGCCTCCCCCAGCCCCAGACTCAGCAAGCTCCTTACCCAGTTCCAGTTCTAACACAAGGTTCAGGGGACTCAGTGAGGTTCTCCATTCACGTGTGGTCATCCAGGCAGACTTGTTCCCTGCATACAATGAGCCCCACTGTCCTGAGTGGGCGCCTTTATCTTCCCGCTTCACTACCTACCCCCATTTCAGAGCGTCTCAACAATGTGCTTCCCTGGCCCTGAACCACAAACCCCAACCTTTGCATCCTCATCTCATTCCTGGGTCATGTTCTTCCGCTTTTCCGAGCCCTGGGCCTGGGCTTTGAGGTGTACACCGACTTCCCATGGCCTGGTCTCTGGGTGAGCCGGGGAAGGAGAGGATTCTGGGGGGTGAGGGTGAGAGGCAACTCTATTAGGCACTTAGAAGCCCAAGATCAGCTGGGCCAAACACCAGAAAGCCTCCTATTTTTGTTTACCTCAAATAGAGCTCAATATACCACTCAATATACGATAAATACCCACTCCTGTGGGTAACACCATCCATCCTTGTCTGCCCTCTTCCCTCCCATCCACCTTCTGCAGACGGAGCCCCCAGTGGGTGTACCCAGGGAATGGCTGGGCTCAGCTCAGGGCTTCCTCGAGGTTGTAGACCCCTGAGGCCCCAACAACCTCTTGCAGGGGCTCCCATGAGAAAGTGCCAGAGCAGTTTTAAAGTTCACAAACATAGACACACTCTCAGATCTCGTGGTCCCCAAAGCAAATTATGTACAGAGCGTGACCCTCTCTTTAGATGTCCGTAAGGACCTGACCCAGCTCAACATCTGCTCCTGGGGCTTTCTCCAGGTGGGCAGGCATTACCAGTTTGGTCCATTAGTAACTCCTTCTTGTGGTACTGCCACATCCCATGGAGCACTGGGCCCCGAGTCCACTCATTCAATGAGCCCCTTGTTGAGTGTTTCTTTCATTCAGTCATTCATCATTTACCTTTGGCATCTTTGGGTGTCAAAGATCCAGAGATCAATAATGCAAAGTCCCACCTCCAGGGCAACGTGGGGGTGAGGGGCAGAAGACAAATGGATGATTTCACTGCAGGCTGAGAAGTACTCTGATGGGGGTTAAGCAGGCAGAGTGGGGGCATCTAATGCAGATTAGGAGTGGGTGTGGTCAGACGACTTCCCAGAGGAGACCTTGCTGCATTATCTGTGAAGACTTAAGGAGAAAAACTTAAATAATTTACCTAGTCATTTAAAGCATTATTTTCCTATGAAAGTATGCATCGAAGATTATGAAGTAGGATGCAACATTCCACATGAATTTTCAATGTAAAACAAGCTATTTCAAAGAAATTTCCCAAGTGCAAAAGGTCTACAACCCCAGACCCTCCTGACCCCTCTGACTGTGGTATGAATCTTCTCTCCTCTGTGGTCAGCTTCCAATATTAGTGAAGATTAGTGAATGCTACGTTAGTGGAAATTTTTGAGAAGCATCTATCTCTGGGAAAACATCTAAATTCCTTAGCTTGGCCTACAAGACCTTTCATGATGGGACCCTCTGCCCTAGCAGCTTTCTCTGACATTATTCTCCTACACACTCTCTGTTCTCCACCCAGCAGCTATTTACACCTCCCCAAACAGTAAACAATGTGCCAAGCTGGTTCATGCCTTTGTGATTTTTCACAAGCTGCTCTTTGCCTGGAATGTCCCTGCCCACGCATCCATCTGGCAAACTCCTACTCATCCTTCTATACCCAGCTCAAAGGGCTCCTCTTCTGTGAAGCCTTCCCAGCAGGCCCAAGTGCAATGAGTCAGTTCCTCCCAAGCACCACTCTATGGTGTCTGTGGCCCTCTCCTTGTGCTGAGATTTATTTATTTCACTTTTTCTCTAACTTGATTGTGGGGGCTTGGAGGGGAAAGACTGTATGATTTATATTTGTATCTCTAGCCCTAAGCACAGCATCTGGCATGGTAGGTGTCTATAAATATTTTGCATAAAGGAGCAAATGAACAAAACTTATTTTGACTCCTTTCTTCTCTTTTGCTTTTAGAGTCAAGATAGGAGACCAGCATTTTCTCATAGACTTTGGAAAATGCTAAGAAAACCACACACCACAAAGAAAAAAATTTCCATTTAACCTCTTTTTGTAGCCATTCACTTCTTATAGCTCATGTAGTTCTCCTGAGAACTCACCAACCCGCTGTGGTTCTTTGACCTTGAGGCATTAGTAAACAGAGCCAGGTAGGAAAGGGGCAGCGGTGCTGTAGGGTCTAGCCAGGTTCCTCCGAGGCAGAGCAATAGCAGCAATGGGGGCTGACACCTATCACGTTCCAGGCACTGTTCTAAGTCCCTTACTATACATGTATACACAGTGACTCTTAATCCTCATAACAACCCTATCAGGTAGCTACTACTATTACCCCATTTTATTTTATTTATTTATTTATTTTTTGGTGGGGAACATCAGCTCTGCGCTAACATCCGATGCCAATCCTCCTCTTTTTTGCCGAGGAAGACTGGCCCTGAGCCAACATCCGTGCCCGTCTTCCTCTACTCTATATGGGACACCCCCACAGCATGGGGTGCCGCGTGGTGCGTTGGTACGCGCCCGGTTTCGAACCTGTGAATCCCGGGCCACCAAAGGGGAGCGTGTGCACTTAACCACTTGCACCACCGGGCAGGCCCTATCCCCATTTTAGAGATGAGGAAACTGAGGCACAGACAGGTTGAGTAACTTGCTCACAATAATACCGCTAACGAGTGGCAGAGAGAGGATTCAAACCCAGGAAGTCTAGCTTGAGAATTTATTCTCCCAACCTCAAGCCTATAGTAGCTCCATGAGCAAAAGATGGACAGTGATGGTAATTTGTTCTAAGAATACAGGGAACAAGAGGTAGAAGAGGAATGTGCCCTTTCACAACCAATCGCCCCAGTCTCGGGCTCTGGGGTGCCCTCTGGGTTCATAAGTGTCCTGTAAAGGTGCTCACTTTGTACAACTCCCAGGCCCAGAGGCCCAGTCTCCTCTTTGCCCTGCATTTTTACTTCACCACGGAGAGGGAGCTATTTGTTTCAGTTGGCTTTGTTCAGCAGAGTCCTCACCAGCCATCTCGGGAAGTGGGCTCCCTGCCATCTTGGGTGGCTGAGGATCTGCTGGCTCTACCTCCCAGGTGCCTTTCACAACAGCACCCCAGGCTAGGGAAACTGGTGAGACCACTTTCCTAGGGTATGTGGGGTGGACCTTAAACCTTCATGGATTCCTGTATCCCATCCAGGACATTTCAAGCAGAGGTCATGACATATGCAAAAATGCAGGAGTGAGAAAAAGCTAGGCCTGTCCATGGAGCAGGTGAGATGCTAGGGTTTGGAGAGAGGGGAGGGAGATGGAATGGACAGGTAGCCTGGCTCTACTTTTGCTTGTGAAAGGCCTTAAACCCACAGTAGAGAAATTTGATTTTCTTCCTCCTATAGGCAGTGGAGAGCCATCGAAGGTTTGTTAGGTTTACAGTGTCACTACTTAAGCTGTTTCTCTTTATTCAACTCTACTTTCTCAACAATTAGGAAACACTGCCATCATGTGGCTGCTGGGTGATGCATACCCCAAACTGTAGATTGACCAATTTTCTCTGATACCATTTAACACGCAGTTAAACCAAAGAACACATCTCTTGATTCAATAGTTGAAGTAAAGCAATGGTAACCTTAATCCTAATGTAAAAAGGATGCTTTTCATAAAGCTTTTCAGGAAATCAATACCTGGGTTCAATTCTTGGATTTCTTACTTTGTTTTCAAAATTCTAATCTAAATCTTTAGTGATTCTGATTGCAAGGATCCTTTCTACTCCCAGTAACCCCTATCTTAGAACCATACTCTCTGGCCCTGCAAAGACTCCACTATCTCCAGGTCAGTTTGGCATCAGACTGTCTCCAGGCCATTTCCCTCAACTGGCAGATTCTATTTCAGTCCTAGGTCTGTCCTCTTTGTATGGCTCAGCAGTTGGACAGATCCAAATTCAAATATTTCCCCCATTTTTTAGCTGGGTAATTTTGGGCAAGTCACTTAACCTCTCCAAACTTCAGTCACTTCATCTGTATAATGAGGATGACACCTTCTCCACAGGGTTATTGTGAGGATGGAAAGACGACACGTGTAGACTGCCTGGTACATCACAACTCCTCATAATAAGGTAGTCCTCCTCCTTCCCTTCCGTCCTCAGGGCACATTGTTGAGCACCCAACAAGCACTCACTGGAGGTCTGTGATTTGATATCCGAGATTTACCTGGTCCTCCAGCAACATTCCCTGAGAACAAAACTACTCATCCCTTCAGGCTTCGAGGGACCACCCCTATTTTCGTGCGTTGCCTACAGACCTTGGGCTTGCTGGGGATTGCAATCCACGCGTCTCCTCCGTGCGCAGCAGGCGGCAGGTGCGTGGACGTGAGCGGGGCGGGCGGGGCGGCAGTCATTCCTCGCCGCTTCATTCCCGGGGGCTGGGTGTGTGTGTGTGTGTGTGTATATATATAATTCAATCCCCGTGGGATCCGGAGTCTGGCCTCACCCGCGGCTCGGCAGATTGGCTGACGGTCTCAGCTCGCCCCCGCCCTCCTTCCCTCCGCGTCCCAGGTGGCTCAGGCCCCCTGCGGTGTTCTCTGTTTACGGAGAGAGCCCGTCCAAGTTGGGCTCCATCTCTGCACTCGCTCCCCTCCGGGGCCCCGCCCGCCCGGGAAGCGGGGAGAAAACCAGGCCGTGCCATTCCTCGTCCTTCCCCTACCCCTCACCGCGCAGAGAGGTCGGGTAAGGGGGAAGAGGTGTGCGCGGGAGAGGGAGTCCCAGGCCTGGGGGAACCGGCTGTCTCCCCCTCCCAGTACCTCGCGCGGACCCAGGAGTTCTATCCCTAGGCCTAGCTCCCGCTCCCTCTCCCCGCCCTGTCGTGCTCAGGGTGACGTGCCCACCCTGGGCAGGCAGCCAGAAGCTGGATCTCAGGGATGCCAGGTCCCTAGAGGAGGCACAGATGTGGAGACTTCACTCACAGGTGTTCCTCCTCCCCCAGACGGCGATGACCCCCAAGCCGGCCGGACCCCCTGACGGGGGCTGGGGCTGGGTGGTGGCGGCCGCAGCCTTCGCGGTGAACGGGCTCTCCTACGGGCTGTTACGCTCCCTGGGCCTTGCTCTCCCTGACCTCGCGGAGCACTTTGACCGAAGCGCTCAGGACACTGCGTGGGTCAGCGCCCTGGCCCTGGCCGTGCAGCAGGCAGCCAGTGAGGGGCGCCCCGAGGGAGGCGGGAACTGGGGTGGAAGGGCCGTGAGCGTAGTGGTGGGGGACTCACCTGATTACCAGACAAGCTGAGAAAGGGAGACTGGTGGAACCACGTTCTAGAAAAGAGTGTGTCTTGAGGTCAAAGGAAGGAGCTATTAGGCTGGGGGAGGGGTTTTAGGCCAGACAAACAGCCAAGGAGAACTGTTGGAGCGAGTTTGGGGGTCCAGGGGCGTGTCTTCCGTTGACTCCGCCCCCTTCTAGGCCCAGTGGGCAGCGCCCTGAGTACCCGCTGGGGGGCACGCCCCGTGGTGATGGTTGGGGGCGTCCTCACCTCGCTCGGCTTCGTCTTTTCGGCTTTCGCCCGCAGTCTGCTGCATCTCTACTTCGGCCTGGGTGTCCTTGCTGGTGAGGGGAGAGGGATACTGGGGTCCTTAACGTGTGATGGTGGAGATAGGAGCTTGTTGGGGGCTGGAGGCTAACGGGTGGGGGCCTCCCGCGAGGCGCCGGGCTGGGATTGCTGGGGTAGGCATCCCCGGCCGGTGCCCTTACCCCGTCCTGTCCATTCGCAGGCTCCGGCTGGGCCCTGGTGTTCGCCCCTGCCCTGGGGACCCTCTCGCGTTACTTCTCCCGCCGTCGAGTCTTGGCCATGGGGCTGGCACTCACGGGCAACGGGGTCTCCTCGCTGCTCCTGGCGCCCGCATTGCAGTTCCTCCTTGATACTTTCGGCTGGCGGGGCGCCCTGCTCCTCCTTGGCGCCATTACCCTTCACCTTATCGCCTGTGGCGCTCTGCTGCGCCCCCTGACGCTCCCTGGCGACCCCCAGGCCCCACCCCGCGGACCCCTAGCTGCCCTCGGCCTGGGTCTCTTCACACGCCGGGCCTTCTCAGTTTTTGCTCTGGGCACGGCCCTGGTGGGGGGCGGCTACTTCGTCCCCTACGTGCACTTGGCCCCTCACGCTTTAGACCGGGGTCTGGAGGGGTATGGGGCAGCGCTGGTGGTGGCGGTGGCTGCGGTGGGGGATGCGGGCGCCCGGCTGGTCTGCGGGTGGCTGGCGGACCAGGGCTGGGTGCCCCTTTCGCGGCTGCTGGCGGTGTTCGGGGCTCTAACCGGGCTGGGGCTGCTGGCCGTGGGACTGGTGCCTGTGGCGCGCAGCAAGGAGGGCTGGGGGGGCCCCCTGCTGGCCGCGGCTGGGGCCTACGGGCTGAGCGCCGGAAGTTACGCCCCGCTGGTTTTCGGCGTGATCCCGGGGCTGGTGGGCATTGGAGGTGTTGTACAGGGAACGGGGCTGATGCTGATGCTGATGAGCCTCGGGGGGCTTTTGGGCCCTCCTCTGTCAGGTAAGGGCCTGAGCCAGCCGACCCGTTCGCAACCATCCTCTGCCCCTGGAGTCCGAGGCCTCCAAATTCCTTTCCCCTTCCCTTCAGGCTTCCTAAGGGATGAGACCGGCGACTTCACCGCCTCCTTCCTCGTGTGCGGCTCCTTCATCCTCTCTGGCAGCTTCATCTACACGGGGCTGCCCGGGGCGCTGCCCTCCTGCGGTGCAGCCTCACAACCAGCGGCCCCTCCCCCTGAGAGCGGGGAGCTGCTCCCCGCTCCTCAGGTTGCCCTGCTCTCCGCAGGAGGCCCTCACTCCACCCCGGACACCACTTGTTGACTATTTTGTTTGAGCCCCTCCCCCAATAAAGAATTTCTATCCGGTTTTCCTGCAAGCTCCAAATGTTAGCCAATCTAGGACGCTGAAAACATTCTACTTAAGATACCCAGAAAGGCTGGTTCAAAGGAACATGATCCCACTAAGCCCTGGGGGAGGGGAAGGGTGTCTGTCTGTCCAGCCGGTCCATTTCTCTTTGCCCAAGTTGTTGCCATTATAACAGGGAATCTTTGAGAAGCTGTCTGCCTGTCAGCTTCAGTTTGTTGTTGGGGGGACGACTCATGGGTGCTATCTGCCCCCTCCCCATCCCAGAAAACTCTTTCCTGCATTTCAGTATCCTCCTACTGGCCTGAGGGAAATAAAAGAGCCTTAGACCCAGACTTCAGTTCTCTCAGCTTTAGCTCCCCCTCCCAAACTCCCCCCCACTGTGTCCCCCACCATTCTGTTAATGTCTTTTCTAAGTCACAGGGGATAGTGGGCAAGAGGGAGGTCAGTGGGCAAGAGGTACTGTGGTCCAGAGAACAGAGTCCAGCTCTGGGTCACCAGAGCTCCTGGACACCTCCCCTCTACTCCCCAGCCATGACCCATTCAGCCAACCCAAGCATATGGGCCCCAGCTCTTTTTGAAGTTCTGATTATTATCCAGTTTGCTTACTCAGTTTTATCTCAAAGGGGCATCCTTCTTTCCCAAACATCTGTCTTCAGAGAAGAAACTCAGTAGGCAACAGTAGAGAGCACGTGTAAAACATGATAAGTCTGTTGGCCTTTGATTTTCAGTTGATCCACAGCTCAGTAGAGCAGGCTGAACTCCTGAATCCCTCAGAAAAGGTTGTGGGAGCAAAGAAGAGATGAGAATCCTCAACAAAATACCAAGGGTTGGCAGACACATTGCAGGAGCCCCAGGCCTGCTCTGGGGGGAGGCAGATCAAGATGTTTAAGGCACTGTGGTTCTGTGGGCGCCAAGGAGAAGACTTGGGCTGCCAACCTCTGGCTTTCTGGGTCTGACAGCCCCTTTTTGGAGTTCAGTCCTCTCCCAGCCCTTCCTTGGGCAGGGGGACTTTGGTATCCAATGCCTCTGTTACAAGCTCCTGGGGCTTTAAGGTAGGAGCTGAGAAGCAGAAGAAGTGGGGCAGAGTGATGAGAACTCCACTCCCTGCCAGAAGGAAGGCCCCAGCCACCACAAAAGAAGCTGTGTAGTTGCCTGTCACATCCCGGAGGTAGCCTAGGTCCAAGAGAGAAAAAGAATACACATGGGTGATCTGTTTCCTGGGACTGATGGCTCAGACACATTTTTGGGTGAAGGGAAGAAAATAATCCTTAACCCATCATCTTGGGAGAGTTAGAACTCCCAAGGTAGGCCTGGAGGAGCTTGAGAACTCTGGTTTCCCAAAGGGTTTCAAGAGGTAATTCTGACCACCTTTCTGCCTTCAGAAGGGATCTCCAAAGCAGCCAGTGGGGATATGGGGATCCAGATCGAGTCAGGCACACCTGTGCCTTTCTTTCTGGCAACTGTGGCCCTCCCTTCTACACCTCCAGTTAGTAGTCAAGAGGACAGTGTTAAGGATCTGAAAGTCCTGGCATCTGGAGCCTAGAGAACTTTGACCATGTGGCTCAGACACCTAGTGGGCCAAGGGAAAGGACAGACACTGGCATGCTATGTCTGGCCAGGTCCAGCCAGGTCCTCTAAAAACCCAAGCTGTAGGTACCCTGCCAAGGGTTCCACATGGCTCCTAGTCTTTGCACAGCCCCAATTTCTTTGCCCCCTGAACCCACTTCAGGGCTGCTATGATTCGCCATGCAGGCCATGTACTGTACCATACCAGTGGGCAATATTCACATACACTGTAATGTGGATAGTCCCCTCCTTGAATTGTATGACATGGCAGCCCTGGCCCACCCAGAAATCCCATTCCCCTTACCTGACAGAGGAGCTCCCAGCAGCCCTCCGATGCTCTCTACCATCTGCAGCAGTCCCAGGCCACAGTATATCCTTCCAGTCCCCACCAGTTCAGGCAGCACAGAGAAGGCCACTGGAGTCAGGGCCCCTGATGTGAAGCCATAGGCCACAGCCAGAGCCACCAGGGCTGTGGGAGCCTGAGCCATGGGGAACAGGGCCAGTGACACCCCAGTCAGAGTGGTCCAGAGTGTCAGGAGTCGTGTCACAGGCCCTGGGACTGCATCCCCTAGCCACCCAGAGGCCACACGCCCTACGAGGTCAGAAATAGCAGCCACTGAGACTAGGAAGGCAGCAGGCAATGGGTCCCAATTCAGGTCCTGGAGATGGGCCACCAGGTGCACGTAGGGAATGAAGAAGCCAGTGTTGATCAAGGTGAGGGCAATAGTGTAACGGAGAAAGGGGCCATGATGGAGAAGGGAGGCAAGCTGGGCCCCAGGGCCACCCACGGCAGGGTCCTCAGTCAGGAAGAGTGGGCGGAGGAGAGCACCACAGGCCACCAGGTGGAGGGAGAGGGCAGACACCAGCAAAAGGGCTCCCCGCCAGGCATAGTGGCTGAGCAGCCATTGGAAGAGTGGGGCAAAGGCAAAGGAGGAGAGGCCCACGCCTGTCAGCGCTAGCCCTGTGGCCAGGGATCGCCGGCGAGAGAAGTAACGGGACAGGCAGGCCAGGGTGGGAGTGAAGGTCAAAGCCCAGCCAGAGCCTGTCAAAAAGGAAGAAATGAGGGTTGGGGGACTCTTAGGGAGCTCAGGGCACCCAGTAATCCCAACACTGCCCAACAGCGGAATATAGCACAGGCCTGGGTTATAATCCTAGCTTTGATACTTTCTAGCTATGTGACCTTGTGTATTTTACTTAATCTCCCAGCCTCAATCTCCTCATCTGCAAAATGGGGGTAGGATACCTCATGGGACTGTGGAGGCTTAGAGACAATGTTTGTAAAGTAACTAGCACAGAACTTTGGAGTTGGACCTGGGCTTTACCATTTCTGGCCTTGTGAGCCTCTTTTGCCGAGTTGCATAAGCTTCTCAAGACTTTCTTCATATGTAAATAGGATAATAATAGCTATTTCATCTCCACAGTACCTGGCACAACTTGACAGTAATTCTTCCTTTTATACTCCAGTCCCACTAGCCCTGGGCTTGTGTATTCTGGATTCATCATCTTTGAATTTCCTAATGTCCCCAATATGTTTATCAATTTAGTCACCCTTCTTCAGAACTCCCCTCTGGGCACAGGTGCCGTCCAAAACTTTCTCTCAGTTTCTCCCTAAGCCTTTTGGAAGGAGCAGGAAGGAGGAGGAAGTCCAGAGGCCAAAGACTCAGGCATTTGACTCTACTGCTGCCTGTGCCCCGGGTCTCACCTGAGAGCAGCCCAATACTCAGGTAGAGATGGATCAAGGAGGTAGCAAAGGAGGCGAGCAGCATGCCCAACGCAGCCAAGATGCCCCCAGCCATCACCACGGGCCTGGGACCGAACTTCGTGCTCAGGGCACTGCCCACGGGGCCTGGGGAAGAGGAAGGGGTTCTGCAAGATCTCAGATTTCTCCAGCATCCTCCCCATCCCCAGCTTCCCCTTTACTGTCCCCACTTCCCCTCTCCCTTCCGAGGGTCGCAGGACGCCGGACCCAGGCGTGGCACTCACTCCCAAACTGCTGCACCGCGATTCCTATGGAGGCGATCCAGGAGACGCGCGCTGCCTGCTCCTCGAACGCCGCCACAAACTCCACGAAGAAGACGCCGAAGGAGCGGAGCACCCCAAACACCAGCGCCGACTGGAAGAACGCTGAGAGCACCACCATCCATCCCCAGCCTCCGTCGGGGGGCTCGGACCTACGCGCCATCTGGGAGGTAACAGAGCTGCCGCCACTAAGAGCCCCTGCGAGAGCAGGGCTCAGGACGCTCCACCTCTGCCCACCCCCACCCCCCACCCCCCACCCAACCGGACGGCTCGGGGCCGCGCTGAGGAGAGGCTGCTAGCGAGGAAGGTGCCGACGAGGGCTTGAAAGCTGCAGAGAGGCTGCGTGAGGCGCCTGCGCCTTTCCCCTAGGGGGGCGATATAGCTGTGGAGAGCCGGCCGGCGCTGGCCCCGGCGATCAGCGCCCGGGGGCGTGCCCCCGCTGGCTGGGAGTCGAGAGTCCAAGCCCGAACCGGACAGATCCGGGCGGGGGCCCACGTTCGGTTTAGGAGCCAGGGGGCGGCACTGGGTTTGGGCCCCACCCCCGAGGGGCGCCAGTCTCCGCGTGGATTATCTATTTTATCATTGGAAGTGTCCGCACCTGGCCCAGCCAGGCTAACATCCTGACCCTAGATCGCCAATGAGGAGCGGGACTCCCTGGAAGGGGGCGGAGCCAGAAGGGCAGGGCGGGGTTTAGAGCATTGTTCAGGACAGGGGCGCATGCGTAAGGAGGGGCTATTAGGAGGCCGACTAGATGGGCCCCACGTGATGCAGGAACCTACCCCGAGGCGGCTTCCGTCTCCAATCCGCCTAGCGGGTCCAGATTTCAGCACCAAGCCTGCACGTAAGGAGCCCATGGGGGTTGGTGGTGGGTACACTGCTTCAGGAAAACACTCACTTGCTTAATGAGGGGCCCAGGAGTTGCAAGGCCAGGTGCGGGCGAGCGGAGGGCTTATGAGATGAGACTCAAACAAAATACCTGGCCAAGAGCCTGAGGCCCCTGGAATCTAGATTCCTGGATACCTGAGGAGTTCAGAGACCAAGGGAGGAGACAAGGGGAATGGGTTGTTGGACTTCTGGCACTCATTTCTGTAATGGGAACTCGTTCCTACCGCTTCTGTTCCCACTAACAGGAAACCTACAGGTCACAGAGACCAAAAATAACTGGCGAGAGGAAGGGCGGCTCTGAGCTCACTCAGGGCTCTACGAGCACCACCTACCCTTTCTTCAGTGGGGCTGGAATCTTTTCTTCTGCCCTCTAGTAACAACCACTTCCGAACCAAGTTTTTTGATCTACTGATGGGATAGACTAAAGAGATAAGCCATGACCACTGGAGCAGTCAGCCTGTCCTACCCAACCAGTACCCAGTCCCTCCGCTTATATAGCACTAATGGCTTGGCTTCTTGTTTCTTCATTGTAATTCAAGCTTCCCAGAACTCGGACCTTGAAACTTGGGCTCCAGGGTTCATACTAGACGTGTGTGTGTGTGTGTGTGTGTGTGTGTGTGTGTGGCTGTGTAATTTTTAAAAGCCTGTTGAGCCTTATAATTTTATATGGGAAATAAAAATAATCATACCCAAAAAACTTTTTTTTTTTTTTTTTGTAAGTAGAGTCAAAACTTTGGCTGGTGGGGAATATGCCAAAGATGTAGAATTGGTGTCGCTGTATAACATAGTGGATAGTGGATATAACTAGTGGATAGTCTTTAGAATCAAGTCCTAGTTCCAATCTTGGCTTTATCACTTATTAACTTGGCCAAGATACTGAACCTCTCAGCTGGCTTCCCTGTCTGTAAGTTGGGCATAATAATAGTACCCACTTTTCAGAGTTCTCAGGGGAGTTGAATTTGAAAATTTATGCACTAAAATGCTTATTAGGGCCTTACATGTAGCAGGAGATAAGTAATATTAGCTGGACTCATTTTCAACAGGGGATAAGCTATAGCGGGAGGGGAAGGAAGGGTTTAGTTTAGTTTTTTTGTTTCATTTTTTGCTTTTTTAAAATCTAATCCAGGTCATGGGTTTTAAAAGATTGAGAAACACAACCACAAACTGTAAATGTTCTAAGGACCTGCAGAGGTCATGTTAATGGACTTATTTCACAGATGAGGAATTTAAGTCCAAAAGGGAGGTAACATAAGAATTAGTGACCTTCTACCTTCTGCCCATGGGACAGAGCAGAGCTGTGCACCCAAGACACACACAGGACAGGGGAAAGGGAGGGAGAGAAGCATACACTGGGCACTGGATAGATTCCAAGACACCATTGCTGGGGGTGGGGTGGAGTTGGCATGTTGGCTTTAACCACACAGCCTTCTCAATGCCACCTCCAGCCCCTCTTATCCTCATGGGACCCAAGTCTTATCCATTTTCCTTGGTGGTAGTGGTGGTGGTGGTGGTAGGTGGTGACCCAAGCATTAAGATCCCCAGCACAGATGCATCCCCCAGCCTCATGGTATTATTAGTGGCTTCCTGGTTTTTCCCTGCCGCCTCCACACCTCAGACAGGAAGTGACTTCAGAGCAGCAGGATGCAGGTGGCTCCGGAGAAACTTCATGAAGTCACTGGTTCCTACACAATGAGCCGGAAGGCAATGGCAGGGAAAAGGAGAACAAGGGCCATCTAAAATGTCTGGTGGGATGGGACAGTGGAATGGGCACAGAATCCAAGATGGTATCCAGGAGGGAGGAACCCTCTTTTCCCCAGCTTCAACCAGTCCCCAGATCTCCCCAGGCAAGAACCCAGGACACAGCAGGCAGCACAGAGAGGCTTCTTTATTCCAAGAATCTGATCTTGCAGGATCTAACGTCTCCACCCCTAGGCACTCTCCACCTGCCCATCCAATCTGCTAAATAAAAATCGTGGTTCCTTCTCACATCTCTCCTCTGCTTTCCCTCCTTCGGTTCTGCAGTGAGGAATAAGAGGGAAAGAGGGAGAATAGTAGCTTTCTCACCAGTTCCCAAGTGAAAGCCACTAGTACTGACCTATGTTGAGGAAGCTCCACCCCACAAATTCAAAGTGCTTCTTACCTTCCACCCCATGCCCCACAATCAAACAGGCCCCAGGACAATGGGGGCAGGTCTGTAAATCAAGGCTTCAGAGTATATTCTAACATTCCAAACATTCCACCCAGTTAAAAGGCAACCTCATTCCTAACTTTCTATCTACTTGGCCTACACCAGAGACAGCGCCCCTCAAGCAACCTCTTAATCCTACCTGAATACTTGGTCAACTAGAGGGTCCATCAGTCAGTCTTTTAAATCTTCTAAATCTGTAATCCCAACAGTAATCCCAATCCCAACAGTAATCCCAATCATAATCACAAACTGCAGCAAATCCAGAATGGAACTCAGCCCCTTTTTTCTCCCTGTGGAAGGTTCTAGTGCATTCACTGGTTCCAGACAGGAATGCAGTGATGGGAAGACCAGGTCACAGACCCAGCTTTTCTAAGGTAAGAAAGTTACGAAGCACCTGTGACTTCTAGAGGCAAAGAAGTTTCTGGAATCTGGACACTTGCCAGAAGATGTCCAAAAACCCACTAAAGGAAGAAGGGGTTTCTCTCAGAGAGAACCCCAAGGTACATTCAAACCCAGATGCCTCTGCAGTAAAGGACGGGTCATGACTCTTTATCCTTTAGTCAAGATAAAGTGTTTCGTAATTCTCCCCTAGATGATAACATTCTTAGAGACTGGATGGAATCAGAAAAGGTTGCATCATCTCCAATAAGGAATTTCAGATCTCTCCCCTATAGAGGGATCAACTTAGTGCTAAGAACAGGCCCTAGTGGGAGGATTATGGGCTCAACTCAAGCCCCTGGGTGGGCTCTATCATGACAGATAGATACAGCAGAGCCAAACCAAGGTGACCAGACTAATGGGACAGTTAGGGGCATAAGAGAGCCACTTCAGTCATCCTCCCAGTTCCAACACTGACAAAGCCCTCACACGCACAGCCTCCAGGAGGCATTTATTCCCTCCATTTCAGGCTCACTATAAATGTTCCTATAACCCTGGAAGAACAAAGAAAAGTCTGTATTCTAGTTCTAGCCCGCTAGAGAACCTACGATATCCAGAATACCAGAGAGGGTTCCTGACCCAATTCCACAAACCCACATGTTCCCAGAGCTGCCCTAGAACAAATAAAGGTTCCAGACCTAGAATTGGAGGGGCAGGACACAGAGAACCCCTTTCTCCATTTTAAACAAGCCAACAAGCAAACAGGAGAAAGAACAATTCTAAAAGATAAAAGTTATGACAATAATAATATAAAACACAAAGGCCAAAGGAGACAGCCAAGTGCCAATCTCTGCCAGCAGAGTTGTGACCTCACATTCTGTGTTTCAGGTCACTTTTGATCACACTTGTGGAAGAGGAAGTGGGAAATGCAATAGAATGAAGGCCCTGGTGCCACTCAAAGGCCTCAATAAATTATATTTATAGATAAACCGAATGAGATGGGGGCTGCCTGTGAAGGACTGTTTCCTCAAGGAAACTAGGCTTCCAGTCTCTCCCCTCCCCCAGCTCCTAGCTTGCTGTCTCCTCAGAAACAATTTTGATTGTGGGGAAGAGGTTTTGACCAGCAAAACAGAGGCAGATCAAGCCAGGATCTGCCACCCCTGCTCTCCCCAGAGAGAAATTAAGGTGGTGGCAGTTTCTGATACTGGAGGGGCCTTGCACACCCCCATACCCAAGCCTGACAGGGAAGCCAGGCGTGAGCTCGCAGCTTCCCCACTTCCGGGAAGCAGTGGGGTCTGGGCCGGCGCTCTGCTATGGCCCCCCTAGAATGTGGTAGTGCACTTTGGTGTTGGTAGCAGCTCCGTGTTTCTGGCGCAGATGGAGCCGTAGTTGACTCTTGTGCCGGAAATGCAGGCCGCAGGGGTCGCACTGTGGGAGAACGGCCGGGTCAGGTCCCTCCCCATCCACAACCACCCTTTACGTGTTGAGCGAGGGAGAATTGTTCAGCTCTCCGCTGAAAGAAGCTCTTTAGTCCTCAGGTCCTCCCACATCCTCTGGGGGAGGCCAAGGAGATAGGCTCCGCCCTCTTCAGCAAAGGTTTTTCCACCGGTTAGCCCCTCTCCAGTACAGTGCCCAGTCCAGGAGCCTAACTTCTATACCCGCCCGTCCTAGCCCCGGCCCCGCCCCTTATTCACACGGGCTCTTCCAGGCCACCGCCCATTTTGAAAAGATCTAGGGATGGCCAGGCCCGCTCCTCTCAGGGCCCCGCCCCTAGGTGAACGGGAGGTAATTCTAAGGCTTTGGGCCAGGCTAGGTCGGGTACTCACGTGGTAAGGCTTCTCTCCCGTGTGGATGCGAACGTGGCTCTTGAGGGTCTGTAAGTGGCGGAAGCGAGTCCCGCAGGTGGGGCAAGGATAAGGCTTCTCCCCGGTGTGGATCAGCACGTGCGCGCGCAGATGCGCTACCTGGGAGGGGAGGGGACCTCAGACCGCGCCTCTGGGAGGGACAGAACCCTCTCCACACGGCCCGCCCCGCCTTCTTGCAAATTTGCCTGAGCCCGCTCTGCGACTGGCTTCGTACCTGCACAAAGCGCGAGCCGCACGTCTCACACTTATAGGGCTTCTCTCCCGAGTGGATGCGGCTGTGCGTTTTTAGGTTAGCCGGCCGGTTAAAGCGGGCTCCGCAGATGGAGCAGTGGTAGGGCTTTTCCCCTGGAGGCAGGGAGCAAGGGAGGTCAGGGACTCTGTCCCAGGCCACCTGTGGGCATGAAGGCCAGGGCCCTCTCCTCCCTGCTCCTCCCCTACCTGTGTGCACGGTGCGGTGACTGGCCAGGTTGCCCTTGTAGCGGAAGGCAGACCGGCAGAGTTGACACTTGTAGGGCTTGTCCTGATCCCCAGGAGCCAAGGGGTCCAGCCCCGATGAGCACCCAGCCACAGCCTCACAGTTCTGGCAGCTGAAAAATTCACTTCCTGGGAAGTGGGGTGGGTAATGACACCACCACCAGTGAATCCTCAGATGACACAGTAGTAGGTTTTCTTTTTCCCAGTTTACTATTAAGGCTTCTGGGGCTCATTTAACTTGCTCAAAGTCACAAGGTTAATAAGAGGACAAGCCAAGATCTGACTCCATGTCTGTCTGACTCCAGAGCTCTCTGCTAATAGTGGTAGTGGTAGGTGGAGGCCCCCACTAGTAGGTGGAAGTTTCTGTTTCTCTCTCCTCTCTTGCACCACTCCTGATGACAGCTTGCCAGAGAGGCCTTGCCAAGCCCTGGGCCTACCGCTCAGCCCTGGATGGGAATGGGCCAGAAGTTCCCAAACTTTGTTGCTCACTGGAAGCTTTAAAAAAATACTGATGCCTGGCTTTCACTTCCAGACATTCTGATCTATGGGGTGTGACCTGGGCAATGGAATTTTTAAAAGCTCCCTCAGAGATTCTAATTTGCAGTAATTGGAATAGGCCTTTTGGCCCAAACTGGCCTTGAGCAGCCACAGGAGAAAAGCCAAGAAGGAGGTAGAAAGAGAGGTTCTTACGTGGTAGTGGACGAGCCTGCCCAGAGGGTGATCCAATGGTCTCTTGGGCCCGGGGTATGAGGAGATGGGAGGTATTGATTGGAGCCCCACATTTGAACTGTACAGTGGCAGCAGTTGGAGAAAGCCTAGGCAGATGGCAAGACCCAGAGAAAAGGGTTAGGAAAGATTGTATACAGGCGGGTTCTCCCCTGGAGAACTTGGAGCCAAAGGCCTACCCTCTGCGGATGAGTCAGTTTTGACCAATGAGCCATATCCAACTGTGTTGCCAAAGTCCCACCCCAATGAATAAGCCTGGCCTCTGGCCAACTCTCTAAGGTGGGCTGTGTCTCTGAAACCACCCCCTCACTCCCTTCTCCTGACTACCCAGGCCCAATGGCTCTGCCTCCTAACTGAGGCTAGCATCTACAACTTCTTGGGGTTCCAGTTTCTGTACCTGCTCTGGGGACCAGGAATGGGTCCTTCTTCGCTGCTGCTGCTGCTGCTGGAAGCTTCATCTCCACTGGGGAGCCCGGCCTGGGGGCAAAGTTGACCAGAATTCCTCTCCCCTGCCAGGCTCCCTGCTTGGGAGGCTTGAGAGTTTAGCACGATGAACTTGTACTTTTTCCAGTTGCAGGCCTTGGGATCTGGGCTGCCTGGACTGGGGGGGCCTTGACTGCAGCTGCGAGACTCAGTAGGTGGGTCTGGGTGCCCTTCGGAGCGCCTGGGACTGCCTGGTGGAGGGACCGTTGGGGGCGTAGGAGGTTCTGCTTCCACGGGCCGCAGGGAGATGCCCAGAGGTTCATAGCTGGGAAAAGAGTGATGGACATTAGTGCTATTTCCTAATCTTGGCCTCTGCCCTTGACACCTGGGATGCCACCTCACCCACGGAGAACACCAAGCTGGGGCTCCCTCACCTGGCCTGGATGAAGCGGTGGCATGCCTGAACCACGTGTTCCATCTGCAAATAGGTGGCCGCCGCAAGGACCGCTGGTGCAGTGGCCGGAGAGAGGCGTAGGCGCGAAGTGTACATGAAGTCCAGAAGAGGAGCGAAGCCTCCGGCTTCAGGGCCCCCCGGTAGGGAGAGCACGTCCACTCCCACTCCTGCACGGCCCCGGAAAATTGAATAGAAGAAGCCACTGGAGAGAGGGCAGATAAGTCACGTTAGGGGCTAGGGAACCAAGGGAGACACGGGCCACAGTAGAAAGCCCCGCCTCCTCGCCACTATCACCCCGCCCCCAATACAGGGACGCTCCGCCTTCTGCTTCTGGAAGGCTTGGCTTCGGATTCCCTCCCAAAGACCTTATGGCTCCGCCCCTTTCCCATTTGGTCCCACCCCAGCCGATGAGCCACCCCTCGAACCTGCAGGCGATAAGAATTGCCTTGTGAGCTCGAAGGGGTTGCCCGCCAACCAGCAGCGTGACGTCAGTGAGGATCCCGCGCAGGCGCAGCTCATTCAGGTTGCCGAGCACGTCGGAGGAGTGGCGAGTGAACTCGCGGACGTAGCCCAGCGCTCCCTCCGCAGTAGCGGTGGAACCCATAGCGACGCAGGCCTGCGGGTGCCAAAGCAAGGGGTCGGGGATCCAGGCAGTCCTCAGACGCCTTCCCTCCCGCAGTTTGCCTCTTCCTCCTGAGGTGCAGCTAGAGCCAAGCCCCCGGCCCCGGCTCCCGCAGCCTCGCTTAATTCATCTTGTTCTTTCCGCCCTCGACCACACCAGCGCTCGCTTTCCTCCTCTAGATTCCACAGTTCTCGGAGCGCGCTGAAGGTTCCCACACCGCGGCGTCGATGGCGAGCGTGGGGAATCGGCCCGCAGCGCTCTTAGTTCGACTCCTAGTGCCCTTCCAGCACCCCCACTCCCCTCTGCTTCACTGCGCGCCCGAGTCTCAGGTGTCCGACCCTGCCTAGAGACCCCGGACGACCTGCCGTCCACACCCCCCCAAATCCCAATTGAAGCTCCCCTCCCCGAACTACGGAATTCTACGAGTACCATCCAGTCCCCGATCCCTGGTTTAGCCCAATTTCTGGACCTCCTACCATCAACAAGCCCCAAACCTCTTCGGGGACTCAGGAGTCTGGCTCCCTCAGTCTCTCGTTCTTACCCCCGTCCTGCAGGGGCTGCGGCTTGTCTTCTCAAGGGGGGCGGGGTCTCTCTCCCTCTTGGCCTCGGCCCCTTTATCTGGCCGGGATGTCGGGGGCGGGGGGTGGAGGTGGGGTGAACGCCTGGGTCTGTATCCTTCCTTCCTCCCTCACTCTCCAGATGGCAAGCCCAGGGCGGGGTCCCCGGCTCCAGGGCGGGACCTCAGAAACGCTGGGTGGTCGTAACTTAAGGGGTCTTGGGACACTGAAAGTGGAACCGAGGATGGGACATTGGAATTGGGGATGAGGTTGGGAATATCGAGATCGGAAATATAGGTGACCTGGGTCGTCGGAGGGCCTGGGACAGCGAAAATTGGTGTGTTGGCTTCTGGAAGGGGGTGTCAGGAGCCTGTTATAGGAGAGTGAATACAGAAAAACTCCCCTTTCCAATGTACGGTATTAAGGGAGATAAAGGGGAGCCCAACGAGGAACCAGGTTTGGGGAGGCGATAGTGGGCTCCCGTAGGGTCTCAGACAGCGGGAGGGTGTGGTGTGAATGACAGGCTCCTCTAGCGGGGCCTACAAAAGGGGGGCTCTGACCGGGCGGGGTAGAGGGGGGGCGGATATGATTTCTAGTCCGTTTCCTTCCATTGTCCTGCGACCGGACGGCTCCACCAGCTGCTTCCCCTCGAGGAGGTGGGGAAAGCCCCGAGTGGGGGTCGAGAGACGCTCAGGAGACCTAGGCGTCCAGACTCTGGCTCCCGACTCTCTTCTGAATCCTTTTAGGGATCCGGAGAGACAGACTCCCGCCCAAAGCCCGCTTGCCCTCCCCCAATCCCAGCTCACTAGGGCCTCGGGCACCCGCCCGTCGGCTACGCTTGGAGGCTGGCGGGACGCCGGGGTCCAGCGCGGCAAGTAGGCAAAGCTCGGCAATGTTTGGCTCCTTCCACGAGGGGGCGGACGAGCACTAGCCTCGCCTCGCCCCGTCGTCTCCACCCGGCTGGGGGTCCTCTTAGACGGGGGCGCAGGATGGATTCAGTCTGGGCGGCTGAAACCTTCGTCCTCCTCCCCTTTGCGCTGGTTTATTTTATCCCTCTGTCTTCTAAGAGGGGACTAGGGTTGGTCGGAGGGAGGGAGAGTTAGGCGACAGAGGGGACTTTCCTCCGAGGCTGGGGTTCCTACCTGGGGTGAGAAATCCGCGGGCTTTGGGAGCAAGGTAAATGGGTGGGACAGGGAGTGGGGTCTGAGCCCTGGGAGCACAGGGTTTTCTTTTCTAATCAAGATAGACACTATTATCTGTCGTTAGAGGTGAATTTGTAGTGAACATTAATCCGAAAGGAGAGTGGGGTGAATAGAGAAAAGGGAAAACAGGGAGGGTCTCAGAGTAAAAGAAGGGAGAGAGGGCAGGAGGGGCGTGATAACCCTAATTTTAAGTCCCTGATCTGGGAGATAGGCACAGGTTACACCCTCATATTTTGTTTGGGGAGACGTTGGGGGTGGGGAGGACAAAGTTCATTTGCGGGGGGGGGGGGGGGGCAGGGCTGAGTCCAGCTGCAAAGCAGGACTTGCATTTGGGCTCAGGAGAGTCTACAGTTGCCAGGAATGACTGACCATTATCCATGGAGCTGCATACCCAGGCCTGGGGCCCTCCCTTTCAGATTTGAGGGTGTCTTTATTTGGGGGCACTAAAGAACTGCTGAGAAACTGGGAATTGGGGACCAATGGAGATTCAGGATGATGAGGTGGCTTTTGCACGTGAGGGTTACTTTGGTCTCTGCCCAGTTTGGAGGTGGGAGTTAGACCAGAGGCTCCCTTTGGTATCAGGATGGAGTTGATTTTGTGTTATCTGGTCAACTGCGGGGTGCATGTTTATCATGGGGTGTTGAGTTGGTTTGATCGCTCTGGGTTCTGGGGGCGGCATTCAGGCTTGAGGGCCAATGGAGCTGATTTTGAAGCCACATTAATTCTGAGGATTCTGATACCGACAGCTTGGAGGTTGTCATCTTGGAATATCAGGAGAAGGAGGGAGTGTTCTTTGGGAGGTGGGTAAGAGTTTTGTTTTGGGGATTCATAGTCATTGGTGTCTATGGACAATCTGATTTCAAGTACAGCAGTCATGCTGATTTTGGGGTGCAGTCTGTTTTGGGGTATCATATCAGCTTCAAGGCTCAGATTAGATTTTGGGGGACATGAAATTCAATTTGGAGTTTTTTATTAGCTTGAGGTGGAACATAATAGGAACTTGGGAGCAAGTTTGAAGGCCTTCTGTGATTGTGGGTCCTTGAGGGGGAGCAAAGCTTTATATTTGAATGTTGTGGAAACTTACTTTGAGGGGGGGATACGCCTGTGTATGCAGAGATAGCCAAGAAGCTTTTTCCAGGGAGAGAAACAAGGGAGGGCCCAGGGGACTAAAGTTTTGGGGTATCCTTATTTTGGGGTGTTTCATCACTCTTTGGGTACATTTGGTGAAGCTGATAGATGGATCATGAGATTGATTTGGGGGTTCATCTCATTTGGAGCACAATGCTGGTTTGGAGTCCTTTGCTTATAGCTCCCTCTCACCCCAGATTCTAGAAATCTCTTTAGTGAACCCCCAAATATACCTGAGATTTGAAGGCAGAAATTTGGAAAGGGAGTGCATCTCCTCTTATTTCTATGTGGCCTGGATAGATCTGAGGGAGAAAAGGTGGTTTCAGATTCAGAACCCCAATTTCTTAAGTGAACATGCCTCAGTTTGGGGAAGGTGGGAGAAAATGGGGTGTCTTGTGGTAAAGTGGACACCCCTGACTAGGGCAGTACTGTTGGAACTGTGGCAAGGAGAGGTGGTGGTGGGGTACAAGGAGGTGATTCTCATACCCTGATTTTCTAGGATAAGAGCCCCAAACAGAAAGCAGACAGAGGACTGGGAGTGTGGGTGAGTTGGGGGGAGGGGTTCCCCACGGCAGCAGGGGCTAGGGGGTAAGCCAGGCCAGCTCTGCACGCCTGGGTCCCTGCTCTCTTCGGCTCTCCTCCCCTCTCTCCCTCCCACCGCCCACCCCCCCAACCCAAGGAAAAAAAACTGCCTGTGCAACAGCAATGGCAGATTCCAATCCTCCAGGCTTTCCTAAACCACCACCGAGACCAGCCAGGGGGGAGGGGAAGAGAGGATCGTGCTTTCCTGCTTCCCTAAGACTGGGGCTATGAGCTTGACCTCCTGGCCCCTAGCCCTTCGAGGAGTGCCCCCCGGTCTGGAAGCCAGGTGTCCTGGACCCTAGCCCCCGAGCGGGGGGGCCTGGAGAAACGGGGAGGAGGAAGGAGGGAGTGACTTCCAAAATTGGCATCGGGACAGAGCAGGGCTGGCGGGAGGCAGGTGAAAGACGGAATTTTCCTGAAAAAACGGGGGTATCTGAGGACCCCAAATTTGGGGAGCTAGTCCAGGACCGTCCTGCCAACATCCCAGATTTTTTTGGGATTTTTTGGAGCCCCCGGGGCCCCTCTAGATGGGGTGAGGAATGTAGTGTTGGGGGAATCTGACTGGGGCATTGCAGCTGCCTCTCCCGCCGAGTTGGAGACGGATGGGCTGGGACGGGTTTGGGGGGGGGGTGTCCCCAATTCTGACTGGGAGTGGAGGAGCCCCCTCCTGAGCTCTCTTGTGGGGGTCCTCCCTCCCTAGAGCACTCCCCACTCCCTGAGCCAGCGAGAGGAAGGAGGCCAGCGATGCGACTGGGGCGGCTCCTTTCTCCTGCACCCCAAATGTGAGGGATGCACCCCAAATTTTGATCCCTTCAAAATAGGGGACCAGGATCTCAGGGGAGAGTAGCTGAGGTAAGTGGGGAGGAAAGTGTCCCCTGTTTTCAGGAGAGACGTGGCGGTTGGGGGGGAGGTTTGGAGGTGCGTGCTGGGGTGGGGTTGTGCTTTGTCAGTCTTGGAACTGGGGGGATGACTGGAGAGGCTTTCTCTTATGCCCCTAAACTGCAGTCCCTCAGATGGAAACCAAAGACTGAGACCAGAGGGCCCCCAACATCCCCAGCCGTTAGTATAGTGTTTGATTTCTGTTTCACCCCCACAAAGGCTCTGCCGAGGATGGGAGCTGGGGGCAGCTGTTCAGTTTGGGGGCTACGGAGGGTGGAGTGAGGAGCAGGAGGCCTTGGCAGGATTTGATGTAGGACAGATAGGGGTCTCAAGGAAGGGGGTCCGACATTCCCCGGGGCCTAAAAAGACTGCTTACACCACCATCTTAGATCTTTTTGATTGCTAAGAGTTTTGGGGGGTGTGTCGGAAGGGGGGGTGGGATGCGAGGTAGGAAGATAACTTTTGGGTTTTAGAAGATATTATTTTGATTTGCGGAAGGGATTTTGGCCCTTGGATTTTGCTTTCTGGAGGGCGCTTTTTAAAAATCAAGTCCTGGACAGGAGGAAAAGGCTGAGGGAAGGCCTAGGGTGGGGGTGGGGAGAGACATGTTTGTCTCAGCTTAAACGTGGCTTTCTGGGGTGGGCCCGCCTTCCTGGGCCTGGTGGATGGGCTGATGGGGGTTGTTGCGGAGGGTGGGACTTGGGTCCTGGGGGGCCGTGGGAAGTGGGAACAGTCCTGGGGGTTGAATACCTGGCCCCCAGGTCCAGATGGCCCTCCTCCTGGTCCCTGTTGCTCCCCTTTCCCCCTGGCCTCCATTTCCTGCCTTTGGCCTCCATTTTGTGGCAGGCCCAGGGCCCAGGGCGACTTCCGGCCCCCCTCTCCCAACCATGTTCCGGCCCCACCACCTCTGGACTGCCAACTCCCAACCCTGCTGGCCTTGGCCTTCTGTCTCTCCTTGCTTTCTCTGGGGTTCTGACCCAGGGAGGGGAGGAACAGACACAGGAAGCCTTGGGTCCCTGCCCTCGCTGAGTCGGGAGGCAGTTCCTTGGTCCCCCACAGTCATTCCCTATTTCCTCATTTCCTCCGCCTCTGACCCCACCCTAGGGATCCCCTGAGCTGAGCTCCTAGAGGGAAGATGGTTCCAGTCTTACTACACTTCGAGCTCACCCCTTAGGCCTCTCTCCCTCCAGTTGCCTGCTCAGCTCCTAGCCCTGGTCTCTTGTTTTCCCCAACCCTTCTTGGGGCCATGTTTGCCTTTTAAGCCTTCTCTATCTCCCTGCTCTTGGTGATGGGGGTCTTCACAGCACTGTCTTGTGCTCCCTTCCTCTCAACCCACCCCAGTCCTGCTCCCGCCCCAGCAGCACACTGTGGTTTGTACGGCACTGTGGCCACGTCCAAACCACACTGTGGTGTTAGAGCGAGGGTGGGGGAGGCACCGCTGAGGCTTGGCCCAGGGAGGCCACCCTGGAGAAGCGACACAAAAAACATCTGGGGCCTTCTTGCGAGGTTGGGGGGAGGGGGTGGGAGGGAGGTTTGAAAGCACTGGAAACAGCCCCTCTAAAATCCCCAGGGTAGTCGCAGGAATACTGACTGCCAGAGACCTTGGGAGTAAGTTCTGCCTCCAGAGAGCAAAGTGGAGTCTTTGTTGCCCACACCCAGCTCCCCTGGCTCTAGCAGCACAGAAATATTGGCACTGGGAAGAGAGTCTGCCAATATTGGCTGTGCTGCTCCAGGCAGGGTGGTGAGAGCTGCCAGGAGGGGCTGAGCCCCTGGGGGCTAAGGAGAGAGGGAACCGCCCCTTGCACTCCAATAAGTTAGGATGAAGGCACCAAGCTGAGAGGGAAATCTTTATTGTTTTCTGTATAAAAGTGTCCATCCGACGGAGGTCAAAGGGGTTGGGGGCAGATGCTTATACAGGAACAGCAAGGTGGGCAGCCCCAGCAGCCTTTCGACCCTCTGTCATGCAGGCCTTGCTCAGAGTCCCAGGTGATCCACAGGTCCAAGATGAACAGTGAGAGGGGTAAGAGGTGGAAGGTCAGCGAGAGAGCAGAGGAGGATCAGCAGAGGTCATGAGAAGGCCAGAATCCAGGGTCAGGCTGTCTGGAACAGGAAGTAAAATGGGCGAGATGGAGCGACCCCCAAGTATGCTTCCAAGACAACTCCCACCTCCCCAAAGCACCCAGCTCGTTACTGACCCAATCCCCTGCACTATGTATGAGAGAACCTTCTCTTCCAAAGCCCCCGTACAAGGGGGGAGGCTCCTGCTGAGACCCTCCCCTACCGTCCAAGTGAGTGCTTCCTCCCCCACCCCTTCAGCTGGTGTGGGAGGAGGAGGACTCCTACCCTGGTCGAAGTTGAGTTTCTTGGCTGGAGGAGTTTCTCCTAGCCCTTCAATATCCACCAGGTCACTGTTGGCGTCGGAGTCGTTCAGAGCACTGAGTGTCACATCTGGGAGGGGGGCATAAGCTAGGTTCTAGGTTCCCTGACTGCCCCCTAGGCTTTCCAAAGCTTCGCGCTCCCCCTCCCTTCCCGACTCGAGCCACTCTCTGGGAACCTTCACTGGGAGAGGAAGAGAGATTTGTCCTTTGACCCAAGCCCAATTCTCTCACTGAAGCTCAGATGGAAGCTTTAACCCCTAGGGAGCAACTCCACAGGCCTCACCAGCCTTCTGTTTCTTTATGGGGGGACCCCCGGCCTCAGGGACACTGGAGCTGCTTGGTGGAGGGGCAGCTGAAGGAGGCGACAAGACACCAGATGCCACCTTCTTGGGCCCTTTCTTAGGCGACTCAGCTGGAAGGGGGATGCCAGAGTCTTCATATACCTTGCGCTTCACGGTGGCCTTTATCTGAGCCCTGAGGAGAAGAGAAAGCAGGTTAGGAAGGGAGTCATCAGAGATACTGAGGGAAGAAGGGAGGGGAGGGGCAGGGGTAATGTGCTATCCTGAAGGAATACTGAGGAGCCCCTTCATAAGAAGCCAGGTTAGAGACCCAACTCTTTGGCAGGGTTCTCATTTTCCTGAAGCTTTGCACTCACTGAGGCCAGATGGAGTGTGAAGAGTGGAGGTCCTGAACTAAGTAGTGGAAAAGGCCCATCTCCTAATTCTCTTCTAGGAGAGATGTGTGGATGTGGAAGGCTACGAGGTAAGCCTTGGTGATCTACAGGTAGATTGAGACTTAATAGTAGATCCTGATCAACTAATTCAGAATCACAATATCCCTGGAAACACTGCAGTAGAGTCTCAAAAGAGCTGTATAAATAACCTGTATAAATCACCAGGGAACTACCATTACCAAATTCAATTGTTGGGTATCTAAGGCAACCTAAAACCAAATTCTTGGAAGGTCCTATTACCATAGCGTTTTAGTAACTTCTGGCCAATTGTGACAATTCTTTTATTCTTTTGGTCCTCAAGGGGATGCTAACAAAACTAGCAACAAAGTAGGAAAAGACGTTGAGCTGGGACTTCTGAGGAAAACGGAACAACGGGTATGGAGGAAGAAAGCTGCCCACCCTCCCTTTTCTGCCAGCCAACCCTCCCTCACACTGTCCGTTCCTTGATGATACAGCTGATGTGATTAAGATCGTCCCCAAATCGCTTCACAGCAGCCCTCAGCATCTCTATCTCCGTCTCGGTCCACTTGGCACTGTCAGAAGGGGAGAGGGGAATAGCGAAAGTGGGAGGAAGAGGGGTGTGGAGCCAGCTCACCGGCATGCATTCCACAGCAACCAACCTCCTCCCCCCAATCCCTGGGGCCCCTTCCATGAATCCATAAAGAGGTACTCCTTAAAGAAAAAAAAAAAGCTCCTAAGGCCCTGTGGGAACCCCGAGGACCCCAACCACATGATATCGCAACAATATTCCCACCTTAGGAAAAAGCCTCTGCCCCATCAGCGTGAAACAGCTGCTGTAAACAGCCCACTGAAACCCATTCAACAAGTAGGGGTCTTAACAAACAGAACCCCTGAACACATTCTGCAGCAGTCTGAGGGAATTTCACATAATTTGGGGTGGGTGGGTCGTGGTGGTGGTCTATAGTCTACCGGTTCGCAGCCGAGTAGAGCTGTGAAATGAGTCGGGGTTATGAGCCTCAGTCTGTGGTTTTATCTGTCATTCATTCATTCATTCAACAATCATTTATTAACACCTATTCTGCGCTGTCAGGCACAAAGGGAAACTAACATCTGTCCCTGCCCTAGAGAGTGTCCGTGTCTGTGATCGAGTCCAAGCATCCACTCTGCGGGTCCACGTCCCAGCCCGCGCTCACGTACCCCGCGGGGGAAGAGTCGGCCACGGGATGCAGTTGCATCGTCAGCTCTCCGAGCTTCGTGAAAGCGGCGCCCGCCGCGGAGAAGATCTCTCCGACCTGGGGGCGGGGCAGCATTACGGGGGGCCGGCGCACAGCCCCGCGCCAGCCCGCCCGGAGCCCCTAGCCCCACCCCAGCTCGGCTCCCGCCCGCTCCCCGCCCCAGGCGGAAGAGTCGGGAGCCAACTGGGGGGTCCGCCCTCCCGTGGCCGCCAGGGAGCGCTGTCCGCGAGGGAGGTCGAACCTTTGTGGACGCTGACGTCATGGCTCCGCACGCCTCCTCACGGAGACGCCGCCGCTACCGCTGCCGCCGCCACGGAGCTGGGACCTCGGAGAGCCGGGAGACCGCACCGCTCCGGCCCCCGAGCAGGAAGTCCCGCCCCTTCCTGCAGCTGATTGGCTCGGACCCCCGCCTCAGCAGCTGCAGTTACTTAGGCCGCCTCGGCGGAGAGTGGACGACGCCGCCTCACTTCCGGCGCTGCTGCACTCCGCTTCCGTCGAGGGGTCGGGACTGCCTATCTGGCGGCCGATCTCAAGCCCCCATGCCTACCCCCCAGCCAAGCACAGACACCAGTCTTAAGAGAGCAGTTTCTGTTTATTGTGGTACGGGACAAGGCGAGGGGGCCAAAGGGACGGGGAACGGCCAGCCCCAGCCTCTCTCCACCGGGGCCGGGGGCCAGGGAAACCCCGTCCCGCAGAGGGCGCCAGAATGGGGGATCAGGGGGGAGAGTTTTTAAATAGAGGAGTGGGCTGGAGAGGGGAAACGCGACGGTGCGCTAGCGCACCATGTATTCCTTGCGCTTATTGAGCCGAACTTGGCAGAAAGAGAAGCCTCCGAGGAGGAGGTAAAGGCCCGCGGCGATGAAACAGTTGTAGCTGACTTGCTCATACAGGCTGTATATGTTCTGGGGGCCACGCCTAGGGGTGGGGATTAGGCAGAGAAGTGTCAGAAACATTAATAGCAGCCAACACTTACTACGTGCCAGGTACCGTTCTAAGCGCTTTTACGTATACTATCTTACTCAGTCTTCTTCATAACCCTATGGGGTGAGTTCTCTTATAGCATCCACTTTGTCGAGTTGGACGGAGGCACAGAGAAGTCAAGTAAAATACCTAAAGCCACACCTGAAGTGGTGGGTTTAGGATGGCCGCTGAGGTCTGACTCCCAAGACCGGTCCTAACTGTAGGCCAAAGAGAGCAGCTTTCCGCACGCTAGCCTCCGGGTCCCAAGCATCCAGCCTCCTGCAATTCCCCGCCCAAAATTCTGACCACAGGCTCAGCCACCTCCCACCTGCACTCAGCCCCGCCTCTCCCACCTGACTACTTACTCAAAATCTTTCTCGGTGAAGGGAACGTCCTCTATTAGTACAGCGGAATGGACATTGAAAAAGATTCCAAGCATTATCTGAAAAAAGGGAATTAGGTAAATTGTCGAACTCAGGCACCTAACTTGGTTACTCCCTAAACTCCTCCCACTTTTAATGTTGCCACAACACCTGGGTTTGGGAATTACCAGAATGAGCTGGGATTAAGGGTGGTTGTTGCTAGATTCGGACTCAGTCACCCGGAATAGGGCGTGGGGTGGTGACATAAAGACGACTTGGCTGGGGCAAGGGCAGAAATAAGGAGCAACCCAGATTATCCTCGTCTCCATAGGCGTCATTATCACGGGACAGAGCGGAAGGAGTCAGGGGGAATCGGCACTTCATACTATTTCTTCCTGGAGTGGGACGGGTAGAGTCCTGGGGAAACTCGGCCCTGGCCACCCATTTTGGGAACAAGCGCTCCCTTTCCCCACTGCCCTCCATTCACTCAAGCATTTCTCAAGAGCCCAGCTTTTCCTCTTACCTTGAAAGATCTCCAAATTTACCAGCGCAGGCTCCCATTCTAAGCTTCAGCTATCCCCACCCCCCCGCCCCACTCCAGTTCCCCATTTCTCAATCTCAGTTCTGTCTCGTTTCCCAGCGGCTAATCAACAACCCCCTCTAGCCTGCCTGCAGCTTTCTAAGGCCTGGATTCATCTAGCTTTCCAGCCCTCCAACCCCGGGGGCCCTGAGGCCCTCTCCGGTTCTCGCCGGGCAGTCCCCTCACCAACATGATCACTCCCCAGGCGCTGAGAACGATGCCGCAGGCCGCCAGCTTGGGCCCACAGCACAGAAGCGACGCCATGAAGAAGGGAGCTGGGGATCGCCTAGATGTGTGCCGAGTGGAAAGGCGGTGAGAGGACTCCCAGAGGCGACCGGGAAAAGCGAGCTGGCCTAGGGGGCTCGCGCGGCGGAGGACAGAGAGCGCGGAGGGCGGCCGAGGGGGCGTGGCCTCCGGACCCAACCATCGTGCCGGGGGGGCGCTAGGCGGAGAACGCTGAGCGCCTCCGGCTCCTCCCGGGACTTCGGCGGGAAGAGGCTGTGCCTGAAGTCTGAAGAAGCCCCTCGGAATCCATTATTGACCTGTGTAGATGGGGTGCGAGTGGTGCAGGAGCAAGGGCCTCCGGTTTCTTGGCTCCCCCCTCTCCATGTTGGAATGAGAGGAGCCGGCGTGTCACGTGACCAAGTTTGGCAAGTCACGTGACGAGGTGCTAGCCGCAGCTGGGCCTCGGGAAAGAGTCAGCTCTGGCGGCGCTGCTGGTAACCTTGGCGGTGGGCGCTTAGGAGCAGAGGTTTGGAACTGATTTTTCCTTCGGATACCTTAGTTTCGGGTGCTAGCGTGTGATGAGAAAATAGTTAGGCATGGAGATTTACACCAAGAGAGAACGCCTCTATCTCTTTTCTACTCATCCCTACCTTTTAAAATAGATATTCTGACACAGTAAAAGGAGACAGGAGCCCCTTCTCGAGGACAGGCGTGCTGTTGTGGCTAAAACGCTTTAACATTGCTGAGGGGTCTTGGCATTGGAAATAATTAAAGTTTTGTTACCAAACATGGAATACTGGATGCCAGATCCAGGTAAAATACGGGCATTAGGAAAAGTCCAGGGAAAGCGGACTCAATGAGCAAGTTGTGAAAGTGAGTGGTCCTGCTAAATGTACTGGAGAAAGGAATGTCACTTTGCTTCCCTACTGTAAAGTAAGGAAACTGACTATAGGTTGTTTGAATAAGGAAGGGTACAAGATTTTAAAAGTACCAATAGATCATCCTTTCCAAAGAAAAAGTTTGTATACTTCATTGGCAAGAGACAGATTTGTAATAATTATTCAGGAAAATAGGAGTGTTTGAAGAACACAATTTTGCACTGAATTTGTACCCATTCTAGTGAGGACAGTGATCACAGCATAATTGAGAGGGATCATTTGGATCCCAAAGCCCCAGAACCAGGCAAACGCTGTCAGTGGTTAGCATAACTTTGCGGTATTTTCCCATTTATTTTGTTTATATTGTTCTCAAAAGGGTTGTGAAAGAGAACTTGGAACCTGGGAAACAGAGACCCCAGGGTACTAAAGGGGCTGGGAAAGGGGCCTTGAGACATGAATTTCACGTCTTTGTTGTTTGAGACTGTCTAGGGAAGGAAGCCATTTTGGGGCAAAGGTTTTTATTCTGCCCTAGGAGCACCATTCTTATTCAAGGACTTTTGGAGTAGGTGTTTAAATAGGAGGAATAGGGGTGGAGGGAAAGTTGCCAAAGAACAGAGTCAGGAATTTTTAAGTTGGCCACCAAGCATGAAGTCTAGCTCCTGGGAAAGGAGAATTAGTTGAGGTAGTTGATTTTTCCGAGAAATCTTCTGCACCCTCCCTGAGAGCATTCTTTGGATGTTTTGCAAGTAGGGTCAGTGTCCCAGGCTAGTGCAGGGGACCCTTGTGCAGGTACTGCCACAGAAGGCCAGATGCAGCCCGCAGCCTGTGCATGTCCCTCTAGCAAAGCACAGGGATTTTTGCATTTTTAAATGGTTGACTAAACCAAAAGAAGAATATTTTGTGACACGTGAAGTTCCTATTTCACTGTCCATAAATAAAGTTTTATTGGAACACAGTCACATTCTTTTACATATTGTCTGTGGCTGCTTTTGTGCTACAACAGGAGAGTTGAGTACCTATAGATGTGACAGGGACTGTGTGGCCTACAATGCCTAAGATATTTATTATCTGGCCCTTTTTTGTGTGTGTGAGAGGAAGATCAGCCCTGAGTTAACATCCATGCCAATCCTCCTCTTTTTGCTGAGGAAGACTGGCCCTGGGCTAACATCTTTGCCCCTCTTCCTCCACTTTATATGGGACGCCACCATAGCATGGCTTGACAAGCGGTGCCTTGGTGCGCACCCAGGATCTGAACCCAGGCCGCCAGCAGCGGAGCGCAGGCACTTAACCGCTGCGCCACGGGGCTGGCCTCTATCTGGCCCTTTACAGAAAAGGTTTGCTGCCTCCCTTGGGCTAGTGGGATACCGATGTAGGGGATTTAGTTGGGGGAGGAAATAGAGCCTTAGCAGCAGAGACTTAGGAAGCCATGAAATTCAAGGTGGAGATGTCAGTCCTAGAGCTGATCTGAAAGTCTTCCAGGTGGGGGCACCTTAGAGCTCAGATAGTGACACTGTTCTCTATGTGGCTGGGCTTCAGGTATTCATAGGGCAGGTCAAGTTGCTCATTCCGGGCTGTAATCTCCCTTTCCAAGTTTTCCAAATCTGTTTGGAATTGGTTTAGTACAGCCTTGGCCTTGGGACCTGAAAAATACTTTTCTTTGTGATGCCCCAGAGGCACCTAAGAAAGAACAAAGGATGAGTCAGTTTCTAGTCGGAAGGCAGAAGCCACAAGAGCCTAGCCCCTCAGTCTGATGTCTCCCTTCCAACTGTCATTTCCCTTTCCCCAGAGTCCTCTCTTACCATGTCTGGCTGGCGGCGACCCAGATGCCATGTGATGGTCATTTGAAGACAGGCCTGTCGGACATCAGGTAGTGAGCCCATCACTGTGGCCATTGTCACATCTTCCTTGGTGGTGGGTGGGGGCATCCGCATTGTACATGGGGCATTAGGGACCCAGGCATACCAGTCCAGCTGGGGGAAGAAACTGCAACCCTAGGATCCTGGTACGTAGGGTTTGAACCCCCATCTCTCCCTTGGGCATCCCAAGGTCCAGACACTTGCCTTCTGGGACCCGGGCTTTCAGCCATCCATACCTGGCCCTGGTTGATGGCTGCATGCTGGGCAGTACATGTGAAGACACACATGGTAAGGAAATGGCAGAGCTGATTCTGGGACTGGAAGGAGACAGGGAAACCTGGGCAGGGAAGGAACAAGATTTTGAGGTTACAGCACGAGAGGAGAGAAATAAAGGCTGATGTCTTGGGCTGTCTATATTTTGGAATTGAGGGGTGTTGGTTCATTTATTTAAAATATTTGTATAGACATGGGTTTCAATTCAGGCTCAGGCCATATAGTTTGGTTACCTTAGGCCAATCACTTAATCTCTCTGAACCTCAATTTCTTCACCTGTAACATGTAGATGATACCTACCTTATAAATGAGATAATGTATTGAAATCACCTGGTATGTAACAAGTGCTCAATAAATAATTATTATTGTTATTATGGAAGTGTGGGGGGGCGGCTGAAAAGCTCTGGGTGATCAGATATCCTCTGCCTCAAAAAGTGGTTAAGAATTTAGGGAGCTTCCTCCTATTCCCAGACAGGGAATTAGAATTGTCTAAGTAATAAGGTAAGGAATAAGAGAAGTCATGGATTTATAGTGTCACAGCCAAGAGAGGCTTTCCACAAAGGTTTTCCCGGGCCACTCATTTTACAGTGGAGGTGGGGGCTCAGAGACCCAATAATCTTATCAGTTAAGTGGAACAAATATAATCACTTCCCTTTTATAGATTAAAAAAAAAAAATCAAAGACCAGAGAGATTAAACTGCGTGTCAGGATTGAGTAGTTGGGAAAAGGCAGAGGCTGACCTTGAACTCGGGTTCCTGACTGCTAATCTGAGGCTGTTTTTAATTTCAGCACATTTCCTCTAAAAGGTCTGTTGGGAAAATTAGGCAAAGGTGAGCCATGAGAACTGAGGGAGAGTGGAGGAAGAGAATGAGAGGCAGTTAGTGGAGATGAAAGTTAACGTGAATATTTTCATTTTCCAAATGTGGATACTGGTTGGGGAAAAGATGGCCAGGAAGAGGAGGAAGGGTCTTTTGGGGGCATGTGAAGCCTAAAGGACAGTGCTGAGACGTAGTAGAGCAAGTTTGGTCCTGGAAGGGTGGGGATAGTGCAGCCACAGATTCCCCAGGGAGAGGCTCCCTCCAGAGAGCACGGGTTGGTTTATTGCTCGCTGCATCCCCAGGCTTTCCAGGGAATGGCTCTCCAGCCTCCCCAGGCTTCCTCTACAAACGTCTGTAGTTGCCCCACAGAGGCAGAGATGTTGGTGTGAAGAGGGGCAGGGACTGAAGGTCGATGTGAAGCAGTCCAGGCTGGCCCATGTGTGTTAGAGAGGGGAGGATGAATCTAGGAAGAGCTCAAGAAAGGCTCTTTCTTCCCCAGAGTTTGAAATGTGGTAGAGGGTGCTAAAGATAGAGGCTAGATCCTAACAGGGGTGAGAGGCTGGATTAGCCAAAGAAACGTGAGCCCCAAGGGGCAGGGCACTGTGTTTGGGTTTGAGCCAAAGCATGGACTGTATTGGGTTTGTACCTAGAATGACCTTGCACTGTGGAAGTGTGCAATATGCCTGGACCATCTGTGTGTGCTGGATAGTAGCAGGCAGGAGGAGAAAGGAGGGAAAACAGAGTGGGTCATCATGGGCTTTGGTGGAAAAATCTTCCCGTTTATATCCTCAGGTAGGAAAACATACAACTGTGAAGAGAATGTGAACCCCTGCAGGGCCTGGGCAGATCTCTCACTTCTGTGGTTCTGGCCTTACTGGATTCCATGCTGTGGCGGGTTTGGGGCTTCTGTGACTTGGAATGTGGGGTGATAGTAGAGGTTGATGGCCAGGGTCTCTGAGGAGGACAATCTTGGGTATCTAGAAGTGTCCTGAGTCTTAGGAGGTGGGAGTGGGATTCAGATGCTTCGTGTGTGGCTGCAGAGGGGGTTGCGATGAGGGAATGGGGTCCGGAACTCAGAAGGGCAGCGCTGAGAAGGGGCTCTGGGCAGAGTGTCTGAGGACCTCCTGTCTCTGGGGAGGGATTTTACCTCGGTCCTGGGCCTGGCACAGCCCCACCTCAGTGATCTCCCGACACCAGGCCTGCAGCTCAGGGTCCCCTCTCACGATGTCATCCCTGTGGTAGAAGAGGTGGACGATCCCCTCCACGTACCTGCCCAGAGGAGAAGGGAGGGGAGCTCCTTGAGGGTAGAAGGCTCCAGCCTCTGACCTCTGCTCCTTTTCTGTGGCCTCTGCCCAGCTGCTTCTACTATTTCTGGGGACAGATCTTACAAGACTTGCCTTTTGGGACCTTCCCCAGCTCTTTCTACACACTAGTGTAGAAAGGAATGAAATGTGGGTCATTAGTTCTAGGAATTCCCTACACGTGGTTGCTAGCCTTTCCTCCTGACAAAAAGCCTGATTTGTCCAGATCCCTCAGTCTCCCACTCCCCAGCTTTCCCAGCCTAGGCTGTCTACCCCTCTATTCCACTTTCCTCCTTTTCAGACCCTGCCCGCTGACTCCACCCTCCCCCTCATCTCCCCAGGATTGGGTCCTCTGCTCCTCCTATCTGGATCTTCTTGTTTTCATGTGTTTCTTTTGCTTCATGCTGACCTCAGGTCAGAGCCCCACTCTCCCTCTCCCTGATGCCCCTCCATTTCTCAGCTCCCCCTCTCACCCACCGGGCAATGATCTGCCAGAGCCGTAAAGCATCGTGGGCATAGAGAGCACTTGGGATTCTCAGCAGGCCCCGGTTAGCCAGATCATCAGGAGGACAGAGGGAGCAGTAGGTCAGCTGAGCCATGGCCCGACGGACCAACTGCACATGGCCCCCTCCACCTGTGCTCACTGCCTGGGACAAGAGAGATGAGAGGCTTTGAGGGAGAAGATAGAGCATAGTATATAAGGAGTCAGATGTGGGGTTTTCACATTTAAAGACATGGGTATAAAGGGACAGGCTTATGATTTTAAGGGTCAGGACATTCACACAGGTTGGTCTGAGATCTTGAAAGTGACAGATCGTAGAGAGTTGGATGATTAGGCAGCCCCACGCCCCATTTCCTCCTTACCTTATCAAATATACCACCTTCTGAAATGAGTTGGGTCCGTGCCCGGGTGTTGATTTCCATGGTGTAGCGGATGTGTGGGATCAGGAGCTGGGATGGAGATTGGAAGGGGGTGGTTTATGGAGGACATGCTTGGGTCCTTCCTTGTAGGGAGTGCCACCCAGCAGGGTGGCCTGCTCTCCTCTTGATGCTTTCCTCCCTGCTGCTGCCTTCACAGGCTGGTCTCCTTCTGCTTCTGTGATCACTCCCTCTCATGCTCTTTACTCCCCTGTGATTCAGGCCTGGAGCCAGACTGAGCTGGGTTTCAGTCTACACTTCACTACTCACTGTGATACTCATCCAGGGTAGTGGACCCTCTAAGTGTTAATCTGTCTCATCTCCTATCTAGCAACTCATCTGTCAATAGAGTGATAATAGGGTCTCATCTCAGAAGTCTGTGGTGATGCTTAACTGAGTGATATATGTATTTAGTACACACAGAAGCTGTTATCATTTATCTTTATTATTTCCACCTTGAGTGTAGGTGTCCTTTAAGAATCAGCTCCTTTTGATTTTCTTTTATACTTCTATTGTTTACATCCTCATAGCTTAAATTAGCCCCTATACTCATTATCAAAGCCACACCTCCATCCTCTGGTTGCTTCACTGTTGGGCTTTTTGTCAGTTGGAATTAGTCAGAATTAGAGGAGCCATATTGAGCTACCTGCTTAAGCAGCAGAGGGGCTGTCGTCAAATCTGCCCCCACCCCTAATTAGGCAGTTAGGCCCCCTCTACTTTTAATAACTTTTTAAAAAATAGCTTTTCCTTAGCTATTACAAAAGGCCATCTGATCCTCACATGCATTTCTTTTCATCTCAGACTATTTTGTCTTCATTTCCACCCAGTTTGTATGCAGGTTTCATGCAGTGTTGCTGTTTATCTGAGTTGGTGATGCTGGACACAGGGAATGACCTGAGTGATACCTGTGGTGTCAAGATGTCAAAGCAGCTCACATTGGTTTGACATTTCTCAGAAAATTTATGAAAGATGCTGAGTGTCACAGAAAGCCCAAAGTCCACACGAGGAGAGAAGATACCTGAGGACAAACAATCCCTAATAATAGTCATAATAATTGCGAGAACTAATGTTTTTTGCAGCTTTTAGCCTGTGTCACACTGTTGTGTTATGTCGTTTTATCCTTGTCAACCCCACGATGGAGATCCTGTTATCCCCATTTAGAGATGAGGACAGCGAGCACACATCTGGTAAGGACTGAGGCTAGGATTCAGGATTCTGACTCCGGCAGTCTGAATCCAGAGTCTGCACACGTAGCCTTGGTGACATTTGCAGGCTTAGCCTTCCTGGGCGTCCTGATAACAACTCAGCTGTTTGCCATGGGATGAAGTTGTTATGGTGAGTGGAGATAGAGGACTGAACTAGTCAAGTGTGAATAGAGGCTTAACCTATTCAAGATGAGCAGAAGATGGTGATGTAGGAGCACCATGAAATCAGTCAAATCCAAGATTCTGTTAATCACACTGGTTTCCATCTTGCCAATGTTACCCCAGACTCAAAGAGGCCACAGCGACTACTGGCCAGGCTTGAGGGGTCAGGGTGGAGACCCCCCAGCTGAAACACAGTTCAGTTGTTCTCCTTACCAGCTACTCACTTGCATATCTTGCCAACATTTCAAACTCCTTGTACTTAAAACTGAACACCTTATCTTTGCTTCCAAACTGGCTTGGTCTGACTTTCGTGTTCCTGACAGTTACTCTGGTTCATAAGCTTGTATCAGTTTTGTCCCTCCTCTCCCATGTTCCCTACATGTAAGATGTCATCAAGATTCTGAGAACATTTCTAAGCAAGCACAAGTCATCTTGCTGCCTTCTGCCTAGCAACAGATTCTGGATTCACTTTTTAATAAAATTACAGTATTTCTAGGTCGGTACAATCCACCCACCCAGTGGGCTCCTAGGTGTTGCAGAAGCTTAGACCGCTGACCTTTCTCTCTCCAGTCTTGTACCCAGGCCTGCTGCAGCTACTGTTTCCTCCCCTCGCCACGTCTTTGTTTTCCTTTTTGTTCCCGTCACCACCTTGCCAATGCATGTCTTTTTCCACCTCTCTCCTGCAAGTATAAGTAGCCTGCTGGGGTGCTCTCCTTGCCTACTTAGCAGCCTTCTCAGTTTGGGTGGAACATTCTCCATCAATACTGTAGTGTTTATAGGCTGTCTCTTTTGATTTCAAATTCTAGTTCCAGATATTGTTCTGTGGTTGGTTCTTATATGCATCACTTGTCTTCCTGGCTCAATAGTAAATCTCCTAAGGCAGGAAACCAGGCTTTTGTTCTACTAACCATATTCCAGCCATACTCCAGGCCCATTGCTAGATTGTCAGATCTCTGAGAATTTCAGAGGGTTCCTTTAATAATATGTCCCAAAGAAACGTTAAGTGACTTGACTTAATTAAAATATGTCTCAAAGATATTGATACAGTCTTCCTTCTCTCCTCTTTCTTTCACAAATTGCTATAAGTATTTTCTGATGCAATATCACTTGATATTGGGCAGTTTCCTCTCTCTGGCATCTGAATGAGATGGGACAGGGCGGGTAGAGGATGTACCTTGAAGACAGGGTGCAGCCCTGGGAGGCACCTCATGGTGGCAACAGCGATGACTTCAGCCACCAGATGAGTGTTCAGCAAATGATATTGGAGCTGGTGCAGTTGGAAATCTGAATTTCGGACCCAGGACTTTGCCAGGAGCCAGGCAAGTGGAGGATCTGAGGGCAGGAACAGTGGTGGGGTGGGGGAGCTGGGGTTGGGAGGCTGGATCTGGGAAAAATAAATTAAGCATTTATTGAACTCCCAATTTGTATATGACATTATGGTCAGCATCCTTGGGGAAACAGAGATGAGTAAGATTATTGCCTTCCAGGAGAGTATCATCTAGGAGGAGGAATGAGGACCCTTCCACCTGCCTCTCACTAGCTGTGGTGCTGTGCGAGTGCCATAATGGTTGGGTTGAATGCAGGAGGGTCAGAAGCAGGGAATCCAGTAAGGAGATCCTAACAGTGGTTTGAGAGAAAAGTGATGGGGTCTGAGTTAGGGTAGGGGAAGGGGAAGCTGAATGTGTGATATAATTGACAGTACTTGTTAACTGACTGTTGAGAACTGTGGGAGAAAAGATATTTAAGAGATGATATGTATTCAGAGTCAGAGGCTACTGAGAGAGATTAAATAGTGATTCTCAAAGTGTGTTCCCAAACTAGCAACATCGGCATCACTTTGGAACTTGTTAGAAATGCAGATTCTCAGTCCCACCCCAGATCTACTGAATCAGCAAGTCTGGTGGTAGGACCCAGCAACCTGTGTTTTAATAAGCCCTTCAGGTGACTCTGATACACACTAAAGTTTGAGAGCACGGGGTACAGGATGCGAACTCCAAAAGGTCATTATGACTCTTGAACAAGTACTTCCAGTTGGGTGAGTTCAGGGGAAACCAGGCTGCAGGCAAATAAAGAGTGACATGAGGACAGACCTCACTGCGTGAGGATGGAGTTTGGGAGCCAAGAACCAGGGGGCTGGGTCCCTGGGAGCAGAGGTTGGGGTGAACAGAGAACAGTGTTGGGAGGGGGGTGCCCAGGGTGCCTCACCTGGATGACCATGGGTAGCAGCTTCCCATTGGGTTCCATCTTCAGCATGATGAGGGGGGCAGCCAGGTACTGCTTCTCGCCTCGGATCACGTTGGCTGGAATTCCATCCAAAAGGATGAAGTCAGCCTCAAACAGGGAACCGTTCTGGGGAAAGGAGGAATGTATCCATCATTAGAGTTCAAAGTCTACCCCCAGAGGGCCAGCACAAAGGGGGAAGACATTTAAAGACCTTTATCTAGTTTCTTGCCGTCATCCTGTATCAGAACCAGAGTCCTACTGGCAGAACCAGAGCATCTAGTCTAATTCCTGTTATTTTAAATAAGTGAAGAAACAGCCTAGTGAGGGTAGATGTCTTGTGCAGGGATGTGTGGTAGCAGATCTGGATTTAGAACCAGGGCTGCTCAGTCCAGTTTGCATTACAGGCATTCTAAGCTGTCCTCTTGTCAAGACGGCATGGCCTGTTCCCCGTCATCCCTCAGTGGTCTTCTGCCTGTGGTCCCTTCCTGCTCCCTCCAAATGCTCGTTCGCTCCCTGTCCAAATCTCACCTTCTCTGCCAAGTAATCCACAGAGGTTCTCCTAACTACCACTGCCACTGCATCCAGCATGCACACGCACATGTTTATACCCCACCTTGCTCATCCTCCTCATATCCAGCTCATCTCTTCCAAACCCAGCTTTCCTCCTCCAGGAAACCTCCACAATTCTCCCCACCTGATGGCATATTCTTCACCTTTCTCCTTGCCCAGAAACACTGGTGTTGGGAGCACTGACAGGGACTGTTATTGTCTCTGCTAGCATCGCTGGCCCTATCTGTGCCCTGGGAATCCATCCTGTTTCCCCTTCCATGGAAGCTCCTTGTAGTTTTCCCTACATACTTCATCATCTCTAGGTTTTTTTTGTGTGTGTGTGAGGAAGATCAGCCCTGAGCTAACATCCATGCTAATCCTCCTCTTTTTGCTAAGGAAGACAGGCTCTGAGCTAACATCTATTGCCAATCCTCCTCCTTTTTTTTTTTCCCCAAAGCCCCAGTAGATAGTTGTATGTCATAGTTGCTATATGTATGTCCTTCTAGTTGCTATATGTGGGACACAGCCTCAGCATGGCCAGAGAAGCAGTGCGTCAGTGTGTGCCCGGGATCCGAACCCTGGGCGCCAGTAGCGGAGCACGCGCACTTAACCGCTAAGCCACAGGGCCGGCCCCCATCTCTAGGTTTTTCCACACAGGACTCTGCACCAAAGGACAGTGGGTTACCACAGCCTCCCTTCCCCTGACTCGTCTTTGACCCCTCCCCTTCACTGCTTCTCCTCCCGACACTGCCAAGGAGAGAACAATGGAGGGCAGCGGGAGGATGTACCTGGAGTTCTTTCTCCAACTGGGCCTGAAGCTCCTCCATCCCCTTGGGCAGCACTAGCCGGGAGGGCACAGAGGTAGAGCGTCTCAGCAGCATGGGGTTGGCGCCATTGAGGAACTGGTAGCCAAAAAACTCATCATCCTGCCAGTACTGGTGAACCTTCTCTGTGGGGTAGGAGTGAAGTGTAGGAAATTTACCACAGCCCAGATACGCCTCTCTTCAGGCCCTACCCCAGTGACCCTGTATCTAGCCCCTGGCTTTTCTTTCTTGAGGCCCCTGTGAGATGATCAGGTACAATAAGGTCTCATTTGGCAAGGAGTTATGGGGGACTGTGGAGTGTGAAGGTCAGGGCATCAGAAGGGGTCATCAAGGGATTATAGAGACCTGGGGGAACCACTGACCAGCCAGAGTGCTCTTCTGGCCCCAGAAGATCTGATCAAAATCCTCTAGGCGATTCCAGGAGCTCAGGAAGGTATAAACACGTTTGAGGACCATCTCCAGAGCCCTAGGACAGGAGTTGAGGCATAAACCCATTTGCTGATCCCTCAGGCCCTGACCATTTACCACCATTCTTGGATCTCCCAGCCCTTTTTCCACTCTGAGCTCCAGGCTTTTTCTCACCCTGCCTTCATTGTCCACTCGAAGTCCCGTCTCTTCTCCTCGTGGAATCTCATATTTGGAGGTAGATCATCCTTACACCCCGCAGCTATTGTCAGGGGTAACCCTTCCTTCCAGGTGGCCCAGCTAGGAGATGGGGACAAGGCTTCAGGGAGGGTGTCCAGGTCAGTGGTCAGGGGGCAGGGCCAGAGAAGGGAGGTACAGTTGGGGTGGGTTGGTGGTCACCGATATATCTGTTGTCTTTCCTTCAGTTCCTTCTCTCGATGTTTCTGGAACATGTCCAATGCATTGTCTCCTGCCAGGCGGGCTAGGAAGACATTAAGACGATTGGCCACAGTTTTGTGTGGTCCTGTGCTCTCCCTGCTTGTCCTCATCTTCCCTTTCGTAGTCAGTCCATTTGTGTTCAGTCATGCTCTGTTGCTTTTATCTCTGGCTATGCCTCACTTGATTGGTTCCCCAGACACATTTATCCCATCTTTGCCAACTTTCCACTCCTGGTTGCACTTACCTCAGCCCTCATTGCTTGCCTTCAGACAGAAATCTCATGTTTGCCACCCTGTCTCATCCCTTAACTCATCTTTCCCTACCTGATCCTATTTCATCAATATCTGTGCTTGGATAAATCACCTTAATTAAGGTGATAAAATCTTAGGCACCCATGTGCCCACACCTGTTTTCTATTATGTATTGCTTTGGTTAATTTCACGTCTTGACCCTCACCTGCCACACCTTCAGCTGTCCTCAAAAACCATTGAGGAACAGCTGTGTTTGCTTTCTTTGCCTGATTTCATCTTTCTTAGACTTAACCATCATAGTCTATATTTTTGTTCCTGCTCTTATCTTTTACTTACCTGTCTCAAAGTCATATATGTCATATTTCCATCCTTACTGTCCTTGCCCTCATTTGTCTCTGTATTCATCTCTCATTTCCCACAGTAGCAAATTCTGTATGCCGTCCTCATTCATCCCCACCCCCTGCCATGTGATCCCTGTCTCTCACAGTGGTCTTCCTTGTTTTTCTAACTTTTCAGCTCTCCAAGGTTATATCGTTTCTTCTCTTAGCTGTCTTCTCTCAGGGGTCACCCGCCATCTCCCATGCCATGTGCTACCCTGGTCCCTTCCCTGTCACATAGAGGTCTCCTTTCCACTTTTACTTTGCTCTTCAGTTTTCTATCATTGCTGCAACTCCTATTCCCTGTTCTCACCTTCTTGGAAGAGGAAACTTTCAGATCACTTCTCTGTGCCCGCCTAGTCTATGTATAACTTCAGGACTTCATAAATTTTTTGCTCCGTTTCAAGCACCCTGAATTTTCCACCCTTAACCTGCTGAGCAGCCAGTTTTTCTAGTCTCTTCTGACCTTCCTCATCCCCCGCCCCCGTAGTTCCTGAGGCCCTACCCCCTCTCCCCCGACACTGCCCCTCACCGGTGCCCTCGGGCAGGCTCAGCACGCCCTCGCCCTGCACCCAGCGGTAACACGGGAAGGCGGCCTCCGCGCAGGCTCCCGGGCCCTGCACCGTGATGCGGTCGCAGAACCACGCGTCGTCCACCAGGGAGTGGTGTTTGCGCAACTTCACGAACTGCAGTGGCCCCAAGTCCTCCGCAACGTCGTGATCAAACTCCTCGTCCTGCGGAGGCCACAACCCGGCGGGACTTAGTAGCAGGGACCGGGAGAGGCCGTTTTGTCGGGGGTTGGGGCTGGGGTTGGGGGGGTCAAAGGCGGGGTGGGGCCGAAGAGAGGCGGGGACCTTTGTGGAGTCTCCGTTGACAAGGCCTCCAACGACAGCATCCCCTCGTTCCCTCCTCCCGACACCTGCGCGGTGGGCCTCGGACGCCCGATCGCCGGGAGGACAAGGGAGCGCGGGGCGTGGCCCGCAGTGTCTGGAATTGATGACTGAGCATCATCACCCGCATCGGTCCGTTTACTGAGCTCTCACTGCGCCCGCGCTCTCCCGGGAGCTTCACGTTCGACCACTGACCCTACATGGATCCTATAGTGCCACTGGCTCTGGGGTCATTTGGGGAAGGAGTTGGAGGCTGCGAGGACCAGAGTCGGGAAGGGAGAAGGGTTTGAGACCAGCCTGGCCCTGCGTCCCGACCCTCTTCCCGCTCCTGACGCCGGAGTCCCAACTCCCTGGAAGTCCCAGCCGGCGCGGTCGCGCTGTCACTGGCCCCCGGCCTCCCGCGTCCGGGCCGCCCTCCCGCCGCGAGCCCAGCCCGGGCCAGGGTCGGGGTCCCCGCTCCCGTCCGCTGACCTGGCCCCGCGCCGGCTGCAGCTGCAGCTCCAGCTCCGCCTCCCCGCGCGCCCCGACCAGCCACAGCTGCACGCGGTTGTGCGACCCGGAGAAGAGCGAGGCCCCGGTGGCCACGCGGATGCGGTAGCGGCCCATGGCGGCCCCCGGTAGCTTAGGTGAAGGGGAGCCGCGTCCTGCGCGCTTCTCGGGACCGCCCAGGGCCGCCGGCGGGTGTCGAGGTGCCTTAGGGCGAGTTCCCGGCCTTTAAAGATGGGTCTGCGTCCCCGCCCTCCTCACAACTTTCAGGCGCTCCCTCCCAAGTCTCCGCCCCAGACTAGCCCGAACCTGCGAGCCGTAGAGCAGGCTGTGGGGAAGGGCCGTGCCTCCCCGTCCGAGCGTAGCTGCGGGAAGATTAAAGGGACCCTGGCCTGGGCGAGGCCGGCGGGATGGATGCGCCGGGCTGCTCTGGACCTCCCGGGGAGGCGGGGGGGGCCAGGCGCCTCCGGCTTGGAGGCAGCAAGGGTGAGGACACTTCCCGAGGTCTTCAGGCCTTTTGGAGAGCTAGGAGGAAGAGGAGGTGAGTCGGTCTTCCCAACCGAGGAGAAAGTCTCCGCTTTTCTGGGCTGGGACCTGGGGAAGGCCGTCGGCCGACTTGTAGAAGGCGGGCCTGGGAGGCTGCGCTGGGCTCCGGTGGATGTCCTGCTGCTAGTCGCGGTATGGCCCAGTAAGTCCTTCAGCTCCTGATTTCTACGAATTTGAGCCCAGCCCTTAAAAAAATGACCAGGAGTTCCCCAGGCTGCGGAGAACCTGGAAAAGTAACAGCTCAAAGACTTGCTCCCCCACTCTCCCTGAACCGGGTTTCACACATACGGGCATTAGGACCCTAGTACCCCAGAAACCGAGAGAGGCCTAAATGAGGCAGGGCAGTGAAAGCCTCCTTTTGTCTAGCCTTTATAGTGGGTGCAGAAAATGTCAAGGACTCAGGTGTTCCCGTGCAGTGTGGAGTCACGTGGGGACCCAGCATACATGGGCATTCCCCATGAACTTTGTCCTTTCCAGGTGAGCACAGCCCCTTCCTCTTCAGTATGTTCCAGGTTAATTTTTATTTGGCCTCATCTCACTGACCTTGGTGCCTGCTTCCCCTACCAGAATTCAGTTTTCTCCTAAAAAATTATATGCAAACAGCTTTTATTAGGCATGAAGTTCTACTTCTTTCCTCTTCTCTCTCGTCCTTATCCCTCTCTCCCTCCTCCCCACCCCCAAGCTATTTCCTTCAAGGCTCTCAGGGCAGGAAACCAGGGAACAGCAGTGAGGCCAGTGCTGGTTAGGGACTTGGTGAGCATTGGAAGGATGATTCAGGGCTCAGGCTTTGTCACCCACCCAGGAGTCAGTTGAAGCCTCCTGCAGGTCCCCGTCCAGATCTTGATCCAGATCATTATAAGCCTTTGGTTCACAGTGTCTGTGTCTGGTGGCCTGGGCTGGGGCAGGGCAAAGTAAATCTGCTTTCTTGAGCCAGAGCCTCAAAAATGACCTGGCCTGTTGGTTATTGGTGGGGATAAGAGGGGTTCAAGACCTGCCTTCCAACCTCCAAACCTCACGGAAGTGTCTGGTCCTTACTTGGTGCCATTCCCCTATTTTCTAGACCCACTCCTACCTACATCCTCTGTGCTCAGGACTGGGTGTCTGCCATGTGCCAGCCCCCAGTTCCTCCAGTTTTTGGTGTCACCCTATTCTGTAATATGCAAATTAAATGGCTTACAGTCCCATCCTATGTAGTAGCTGGATCTGGCCTTGTCGACACATACCCTTCAAGTGTCACTTTTTTTTGCCCAAGGGTCACTTTTGCCTAGAAAAGAGAGTTTGTCTCGTCCTTACTTCCAAAATCGGTCCATACCTGAGCCTGCTTCTCTGCTGGTTTGTTACACCTTTTCTGCCCAGTCTTGGTACTTCAAGGTCACACGGCAAAGGGGGAGAATGAATAATTAAGAAAAATAACTTACTGCATATGCTAAATGAGTTAATATGTTTAAAACACTTAGAACAATGCCAGTATGCATTAGCTGCTATTATTCTGTTATTTACAGACTGGAAGCAAATTCCAACTGAATATCAGCATCACTTCTAGAAATTCCTCTGCCTTTCCCCACCACATACTGTTTTTCCATGTCCCTCTAAAGCCCCCAGCCTCTCACTAGAGGTCTTACTCCTTAAGACCCTTCCTCCCACTTTTTTTTTCCTTTTTCCTTTTTTTTTTTTTTATGGTGCAGCTTCTTTTTTTTTTTTTTTTTTAAAGATTTTATTTATTTTATTTTTCCCCCCCCAAAGCTCCAGTGGATAGTTGTTTGTCGTAGCTGCACATCCTTCTAGTTGCTGTATGTGGGACTCGGCCTCAGGATGAACGGAGAAGTGGTGCCTCGATGTGCACCCGGGATCCGAACCCGGGCTGCCAGCATCGCAGCGCGCGCACTTAACCACCAAGCCACAGGGCCGGCCCCCTTTTTCCTTTTTAAACCCATGCATTATGTTGGGGGAATGTAATTAAAAACAAAATTCCCCTCCCACAAAAACCTCTCCATAAAGGTAGTAGAGAAAGAAAACAGCTTTATTATTGAATAAACATTAAACCAGAATGTGATGTGCCTCACAGACAATCCGCTGAGAGACCGTGAAGACAAAGACAGAAGGAAATCTTACTCTTACATACACTCAAGCATATACAAGCCATGACACACATGTTCTCAAGATAAACAATAACTAGTCGTCAAGTGAGAGGCTTGACGGCACTATTCGTCACACATAGTGCATCCTAATTTTACCTGGTAATTGGTGACCATCTCTGTTATTAACAAGCTTAATCATAGGAAAAACAAAGTCCTCGAATATTTATGACAGGAGGTGGTTTTGTAACTTGGAGCAAGGAGCTCCCCTAAGGCTCCTACCCTCCCACAGAAACTGGGAGAGAGGGGTGCTATCTCTCTTGATGTTGACATTTCAAAGAGAGGGCTCCCAGGTCCTTGGGAAAGACATTCCTGGATCATAAAGCTGGCAAGAAGCTTGTTGAGTTTCTAAAAAGATTGACACACATTTCAAAGAGACAGAGAAAGAACTTAACAATGATTAGTTTTCTAGAGGAAATGCTCTAAGAAAAGGGAGGGAGGGAGAAGTGTCTTAATTTCAACAGGGAGAATTAAGCCTCTTAATTTAAAATTTTTATTTGTCCTCACAATGACCATTTTGTTCTTTTGTATGCCACAGGATGGACCGAGGGCTTCGTTTTGTCCAGGCCCTTTGCGGTAGGAAGCCCACATTTGCCACGTGTGCATGCCAAAGCTCAACTCTCCTCTTCTTCCAGACTCCCAGGGCCCTGTTCTCTGTGCCAGGAGCCGACATTCCCATTACCTCTTTTTTGCAGAGCAATTTAACTTCTTGATCAAAGCTTCTAGAACCAGGTTATTCCCCAGAGGGTGTGGGTGAGGGGGATGAACATTACATTTCATAGCCAAAGGCTTGTTAAAGTGTTTTTGTAAACACAAGAATGATTTCATCCTTTTATCCTACGTCAGGGTGGCTCAAAGTGCACTTGGTTTAGGGGATAACTCTTGGCCTTGCTGCGTGAGTGTTTAGAGCCCATAGTTGGCACAGGGCTATATAAATTTGTATTTGTTCCTTGAGGACAAATTGGACATACAACCGTGGCGTTATAAACTATGTAAATATAGGATCTAATTTCAGAGTGGACATTGCATCATCTATTTTTCCAGTTAGTAATTTCGGTACCCACCCGTCCCTATTTGCAGGACGTCCAGCACTTCCCTCTCTGAGTGCTGTCACTTTCTTCTGTCCTTGTTCAATGGTGTAACCTGGGAAACTGTCCTGCACAATCTAATGGGTTGTTTTCTAGTGCTGCAGGGATCCCTGCATAGGCCATGACAGTGACATAACTTGGGCTTCCCAACTCTTAGTTCACGTGGGCTCGGGCAGGGTCCTCAAGTGTGACTGTGGTGCTAGGGGCCTGTGCCAGGGCTGTCCAACCTCAGCCTCTTAAAGCTTTAGGCCTTGGTGTTGACCAGACCACTTTCCTCACAGAGGGTTCCCTTTTGGGACCCTTAGTATTCTTTCCTGCTGGTAGATCTCTAGTAGAACCTTCTCAGTCTTTCAGAGAGGACCTATTAACATTAACAATGTCAAAAAGAATTCAAGTCTCCATCTTTTTTCTTCCAGGTAGTGTCTTGGGCCCTTTAGGCAATTTACCCACTCCTCTTCCACCAGCTCTGCATTCCAAAGGAGTATTGGGGTGGGAGTGGGAGATGGGAGGATGTGGCAGGGAAGGGAGAGCCTTTGTGGGCCCTCAAAAGGATGCTGGAGAGGTGACATTCAAGGCTCAGGGAACAGTCAAAGACACTTTGCTCCCAGGGAGCTATGTCCATTCAGAGAGAAAAAAACTGTCAGATTCTTGCCCCTTTGCTGCCTGTGCTCTTCCTCCCGCCTCTGCCAACCCAGTCCTAGCAGGTATGCCCAAGTTAGCCCAAAGAGACTGCTCAGATTTCTGTGGGTTCATAGAGTCATCTGCAATCATGAATACACTCCTGGGAGTGGTTGGTTTGGGTTGTTTGAAAAATCCGTTCTGCCCCATATACAGTTTCCTGCAGCTTGCTTTTCTCACTTAAGAAATACATCTCATGGAAATCTCTGTAGTTCAATAGTTACACAGTAGTCCCCCCTTATCTGCGGTTTCACTTTCCATGGTTTCGGTTGCCTGCAGTCAACCGTGGTCTGAAAATATTAAATGGAAAATTCCAGAAATAAACAGTTCATAAGTTTTAAATTGCATGCCATCCCGAGTAGTGTGATGAAATCCTGCTCCGTCTCGCCCAAGACGTGAATCACCCCTTTGTCAAGCATATCCACGCTGTGCGCGCTACCCACCCATTAGTCACTTAGTAGCCATCTCAGTTATCAGATAGACTGTCGAGGTATCGCAGTGCTTGTGTTCAGGTAACCCTTATTTTACTTAATCATGACTTCAAAACACAAGGGTAGTGATGCTGGCAATTCTGATATGCCAAAGAGAAGCAGTAAGGTGCTTCCTTTAAGTGAAAAGGTGCAAGTTCTTTACTTAATAAGGAAAGAAAAAGAATCATATGCTGAGGTTGCTAAGATCTATGGTAATTTTATTAGAGTATATTGTTATAATTGTTCTATTTTATTATTAGTTGTTGTTAACCTCTGTGCCTAATTTATAAATTAAACTTTATCATAGGTATGTATGTATGGGAAAAAACATAGTACACATAGGTTTTGGTACTATCCGGGGTTTCTGGCATCTGCTGGGGGTGTTGGAACATATCCCCTGCGGATAATGGGGGCTGCCATACATCTGGTTCATTCTTTTACACAACTGCATGGTGCTCCACAGTGCATTCAGTCTTTCCTCTGTTGATGAGCATTAAGTAGTTTCCAGTTTTGGGACATATGATGAGTGCTACAAAGGGCATGTTTGTACTTATATCCTTATGCACTGGTGGTTTTGTTTCTATGGGTTAGAGTCCAAGACAAAGGTAGAAGGATAAAAGACCATCAGAATAAAAAAAACTCCAAAACAAGAATGAAAAAAAACAAATTAACAAAGCTGAGTGTCTTTACTCAGATGGAGGAATACACCAGACAAGCTATTGACTGAGTCATTCATGGAGGGGGATAAGTCAGGAATTTTTAACTGCTAGAAAGGGGTGTTCATAATGTTTATGCGAGTTAAAAGTTGAAAGCTTGTTCCCTGGAGAGGCTGGATTGAGTCCACAGGTTTGTACACCGTTCGTTGAAACAAGTCCCAAACAAATAACTGAAGTTGTTCTTTAGTTAGAGGCGTCTTAGGTCCACTAAGGATTGGGCATACCAGTGTTACTCAGTGTTCATGATCATTGAAAATCTTCAGCTGGTTAGAAACAGTTGTGAAACAGAGCATTCAGTTTTGCTATCTCCTAGGCAAGTGCTGCTACGAGTTCTTTTACATGGGATCGCTGGGTGAAAGGGAGTGTGTGTGGGGACACGGAGTTCATTTGTGATATCATGGAGAACAGGTGCGGTAGAGAGATGGAGGCAGCATGCAGATCTGAGTGTAGCATGCCTTGTAAGGAATAAGGCCTTAAAGAGAACAGAGAGCTGTAGCTGGAGATGGGTCACCGGTAGAGCCGGTGAGAGGGAGTGGTGGAGATAAAGGAGAACAAGGGTAAGTGATGAGAGGAAGACTTGAGGGAGGAGATGAAATCCGAAAACTAGTGGAGGAACTGGCCTTGGAGCATGCATTCTCAAAGGGGGCGGGGCAACAACATCTTAGATATTGCAGTGGTTTGTGGCCCTCCAAAGGGCCATGGACATAAGCAGATATATTAAGGAATTAAAATTTCATGGGACAGAGGCAGAAAGCCATTAGGAAAAAAATGTCTTAACGGCTTTGTTAAGGGGGCAATAATGGAAAAAGGTAGAGAAACATGGCGCAGGGATGTGATTTCCTTAGCAGTACTCCCTGCTTGTTTGCTGACACAAGACAAATAAAAGGTTGGATTCATCCAGGATGTTAAGGAGTGGAACAAGGATCCTGAGGCTCCATCTGGCCCAGGATGACGTGAGCCCCTCTCTTGTTCTTATCTCCCCAACATCAGTGGTGGAGCAGGTATGGACACTAGGCCCCATTTGTACGTGTTATCAGTTTGCATTTTAAGCCAAAATGGTGTCAAGACAAGGGTGTCCGAGACCCCCTTTCCATGAGATTGGCATCTCTAAACTGCTTGGGTTGACTTGTTCTGAAGCTGGCTCTTCTCAGCATTTCTGTAAAGAGGTTGAGAGGTTAATCCTGGTCCCTCCCTCCAGCCCCCACTGCTAGTCTGTATTCCTCAGGGACCCAACATCCAACTCCTGGCCTCTCTTTTCAGGACTGAACTGCAAGGCCAGACCCACGGCATCTTGGGCCTCTTTTTTTCGTCTGGAGAAGCAAAGGTTAAAGAACAAATGAGTTGGGGGTCCACCAGAGCATATGGGGGATACAGAAATTCCACTCCTTCTCTGGGATCCCTGCCAGTACCCCTTAACCATCCCAAACTCTGTTTATCTTTCTCTTTGTTCTAATGTTTACCTTGTAAACCTATATTATTCAAATTTCTTATTCACACTGGTTTCTAGATAATTTTCGCATCTTGCCTACTGTTGCTGACCTCTTTCCTCCACCCTGTGCTGAACTGTATTTAAAAACCAGCACTCACCCAAAGCTGTTCCATGTAACAGACTTGTCCTGATGGTTTGGAAGGGTAATAGCCAGGGCAGGGGCTAGGATGAGACGAGTGAGGCACTTACCTCGGGTGCAACATTGAGGGGCCCCCCAAAAACCCAGTAATCAAGATAAATAATATTTTAATGCAAAATATTTAAAATAATATTTTAATAATTAATTTAATAATTTAATGATTTTCAAAAAATCAACATTAATGCAAAAAATCCATGATGAACAAAATATCAAAATATATATATATATTTTTTTGGTGAGGAAGATCAGCCCTGAGCTAACATCCGATGCCAATCCTCCTCTTTTTTGCTGAGGAAGATTGGCCCTGGGCTAACATCCTTGCCCATCTTCCTCTACTTTATGTGGGACGCCTGCCACAGCATGGCTTGATGAGCGGTGCATAGGTCTGCGCCCAGGATCTGAACCTGCAAACCCCAGGCTGCTGAAGCGGAGTGCTCGCACTTAACCACTGCGCCACTGGGCTGGCCCCAAAATATCAAAATTTTAAGACAGGATCAGTCGTAAGACTTAATATTAGCCATCTGTATTCTTAACATTTTTTGCAACCATTCCTGCCACCAGAAATTTCTGTCTGATTGACTTGACCCCCAGAACCCCATTACTCAACCCACGGGTGACTTGTTGTGGAATTTTCTTATTTTATCTTCTTTCTGTTATTCTCAGGCCCTCTAATCTCCTCTCTCCACTTCCACCTTCTCCCCAGCAATGGCATACTTGATGAAAATCAGTATTCTTATTTTATTGTAAAACAACTTCTCTCTCATAGTCTCATCTCCTTTCCAAACACTGCTCTGCCTCCTGGCTTTCCAAGACCCAAATGACTCGTCAAGGTGTTTTGTAAATGATAGGCCATCTGCTACTTTAACAACATAAATAAATGATTTTCCAAAATCAAATTCTCAGGCGTCATTGTCTTTTCCACCAGTGTCTGTAAATTTAAGAAAGCAGAGATTGACTCTTTTAAGATTCATACACTGCCATCCCCATCCCCAAAGAACAGTTGGCTATAATCAGGAGTGTGCATGTGTGTGTGTGTGTGATGAAAGTAAGAAAATGAATGAGGGGCTGGCCCCATGGCATAGTGGTTAAGTTAGGTGCACTCCACTTCGGCAGCCCAGGTTCACAGGTTCAGATCCCGGGCAGGGACCCACACCGCTCGTCAGCCATACTGTGGCAGCAACGCACATATAGAGTGGAGGAAGATTGGCACAGATGTTAGTTCAGGGCTAATCTTCCTCAAGCGATAAAAAGAAAAAAGAGGAAGATTGGCAAGAGATGTTAGCTCAAGGCTAATCTTCCTCAGCAAAAAAAAAAAAAAAGTATCTAATCCTATAAAACTCTGAGAAGTAGATATTATTATCCCTATTTCATAAATGAGTGCATTAAGCACAAAGAAGGGAAGAGATGTTCTCAAAGTCACACAAGTAACATGTAGGTGGAATAGCCCAGAAAGTGTCATGGGTATGATTCATGTTCTCATCACCCATTCTCTCTTTGACACTTCAGTGTCACCTGCCCTGATCACTATAATGAATCCACTCCCAGAGCTTATTTATGACCTCTTCATTCTTAAATCCCTAGGTGATCGTTGCTGTAAAAGTCTCTACTGCTTTGACTAGGACCGCCCCTGTGTGTACCCCTAGGGCCTCAAGCAAATAATTTTTTGCGGGCCCCCTAACTATATAAACAATATGATTAAAAATGTATTACGGAATTCCTGGGCCCATGTGAGGTGTGGTGATTTATTAACAAATATATGGAATAATGATTAGTGAGGTCGTACTTATGTACTTATTTGTTGTGCGTCCAGTGCACAAGGAGCCTGGCATGAGCTTTTTTTTTTTTTTTTCCTTGAGGAAGATCAGCCCTGAGCTAACATCTGTGACCCATCTTCCTCTACTTTATATGTGGGTCGCCGCCACAGCATGGCTGATGAGTGGTGCAGGTCCGCACCTGGGATCTGAACCTGCAGACCGGGGCCACCAAAGTGGAAGGTGCCGAACTCAACCACTATGCTCCGGGGCCAGCCCCCTGGCATGAGCTTTTGCTCTATTAGTTTTCTGAGAAGGAGTACTTAAGAGGTACATTTTTTGAGATCTTGCATATTTGAAAATGTGTTTATTCAACTCGCACTTGCATGGTAATTTGCCTAGGAATAAATCCTGGAGGGGAAATTAACTTCCCTCAGAATTTTGAAGGGACTTTTGTTAGTGAAAGTATAGGCTAAGTTCTTTAACAAAAAAACCCCAAAATACAGTGATTTCAACATCTGATTAATAGTTCCTATATTGCCTCTTCTAATTTTCAGCTCTTTTTCGCTACTTTCTTGGAGATTTCCTCAACTTCATCTCCACCTCTTTTATTACATTAAAATTCTTTCTGCTACTGAATCTTCTCTATCTTGTTGTTACTTTTAGAAAACACCTTGCTCTTGTTTCAAGAATACTAAATCTTCTCTAATATTTCCGAACATGG